GTAGCCAGACTTCAAAAACAACATGTCCAGCCCTTTGACAATAATCAACTACTATAAAGGGCACAAGACTAAACCCAATTAATTGATAAGTAAAACGTTTCAAAATGTGCCAAAACAAAATTAGGTAGCCTCGTTCAAGTGGATCTCAATAAGTGGCCCTTTTTCAAGTTAACGAAATTCTGTACTATTACAAGTATACAAAATGCGCCCTTGCATCTGCGCAAACCCCTAACAACACATTGCCACTCATCCCTTGTGTTCCACGCTACCAAGGGAAGGGGAACATGACTCATGGGATATAAAAGGCGCACTGGCAGCTGCACAAACATAAAAGAAGGGGTGTCACACACACGACTACTTTAGAGACAAAACAACCCTTTTGCGAGCCTGACATACAATACACGTTCAGTACCAATAGGTGAGTTGTCGGCCCTTCCATAGGAATATGAACAATCCGGTGCACTTGTATTTATAAGACAACATCACCCTCTCACCTTTTTTTCTCCACTAGGCCAGCACTCATCAATTTTTTCCTTAATAACTAAACACTTTGACCCAACTCGGTGTGGCTTGCACAGCCAACCTTGGGTGAAGCATAAAACACATAATCAACACACAGGGTGAGAGGAGTCAACCTACTTATGACTCACACTCTTTCACCCTTGTGACGTGTTGAACTTGTTATGACCATCCTGGCCATGGCTCATGCCTTTTAGTGCATGCAAGTGCTTATAGTGAAAGTCCTAAGAACTACCTTGCATGACACAAGGACTAACACTATGTCAGGACTTTTAGATCCCACAAAGCCAATACACATGCCATGTTAGCCCTGAGAGAGTAAGTGCATTTCAATATCCCACCTTGAACGTAACCTCATAAATCACATGAAACCCCATTTTTTATGTAGATCACTTGTCTCTCCTCGTTAGGTCAGACAACTCAGATGGTATTTCTCAGACAAGGGAATAGTTGATCAGACTATCCCAATCTACCCACACAGTCTGTGCCCTTGAGGCCCTGGACCTCCCAGAATTGCCATTGAACCCAATCTGTCTTGGGGGCTGAATGGTAACATCTGGTGGGAACACAGGGTGGCATCTCGCATCCAGCCCTTATTTCTTTATCCTTGCACCGCCCTCATTCTCACTCCTAAGGTATGTGGCTGTCCACTCACAACCCATTTTCGGAGTGTTTTTTCTTTGTTTTCTTCTTCTTTTTTTTATCGGCAATGGTGGTATACGTGGGCCATCCCATGCAGCGTGCACAGCGTATATGGTAGATACCCATCATATGCCAATTATGTAAGTGAACACTCACTGAAGCGGTGGTCGTTATGTGGCATCACGAACGAAATTTCAGTTTAGGATAGCAACGGGCAACAATGGACATGCTTGTTTTCCAACTATCAGAGCGCATTCGCCAGCAACCTTTGTACCGCTATCTCCTGAAAAGTTTTGGTTGGACCACACCTGAGACTTCCTGTTGCACTCGCGAGCACACATATCATTTGCACACAGCGATGATGACCGATCAGCTCTTATCTCTGTTGGCAGGTGACATATTTTTGCGTAGAGTTCCGCAGTTTTGCACGTATTAATGTTTTTAAATTGCTCGTTGACAAGATCGTGGCCACGCCATGGCCAGACCTCTCCGGAGGGCAGCAGTGAAGAATCGACTTGAACCCAGTCGAATGGGGGCGAATTCGATCGACGAAACGGCCAGAAACGCACAGGCCGATCGTCTCACGCCAGTCGCACACAGGGCCTGAGTCCCTCCCTCGAAAGGGATGCTCACTTGGCCTCGTAGGTCCTCTCCTCAGCCGGTGAGGAGGCCTGGCTGGCTGCAGCGGCCGTAACCAAAACGAGTTACGGACCGAGAGAGCCCTACATTGCCAGCTCGTCGGATTATATACAAGTTCACGTTCATTTCCAGCCACACACTCCGCAGAATATGCTCCAAAAGATTCCCTACTATCCCTCTTATAATGCCTCTTGTTATTCACATCAGAACTTTTCAACACTTGCAGTCCCATCACCGTGCAGCCCCTATGGGCCGTCCGAATCCAATCAAATCCTCCACCTAGTGTCCAGTCACTCTATATGTTCCATAGTGTACGCATTGGACGCTGATTCTCTTTAGGTTTTCTCACCCGAAGTTCCCTTGAACTCTAAGGCTATCACACTACCGCTGCTGACCTGGAAGATACCGAATCTGTCCCACTCGAGGCACTACAGCTGTGGCAGCGCAGCCGTCGAAGATCTGGCAGGACAGGCGTAGATTTCGAGCGTATCTCATCACAAACTAACATATTTTCAAGGCTACGGCTGACAGCAGTCTCCACTATTCCTAAAATACTTTAGCCCCTGTCTCTTTCCAGTAACACCTGGCCTTACAGCCCTAAAACTCCTCAAAAACCCATCGGAAACAAAAGTTGTTTCTTAGGGTCCACTTATTTTGTTGTTTTCAGGACCCTAGATTTTCCAAAACTTATTAAAAAAACATAAACTTTGTACCATTCAATTGCAAATTGAATTTGCAATCGCTCTGTGTCATCAAAATCTCATAATGATGTCTTTTAACCCATAATGAATCTCCATGCCTGACTGCAATCAGAACCCCACGTGCCAGTTCGCGTAGAGTCGCCTAGCATACAGGGCGACGTGACAGCGCCCGATTTCTGCCCGATACGCGCACGTATCGCTAATCCCCTGGGGCGCCCCGCTGAGTCAGCGCTCGGCGGTACAGGCGCCCCCCACCACCTCACTCTCCGCACTCGCACCCCCTTGCACCCCCTCCGGCCCGCCGTCGGGCTGGCACGTTTCCTCGAGGCAGCCTCCGCGAGCAAACCCCCCCGGCAGGGTTGGGCGCAAGACCCCCCTCCGTGGAATGGCCGGTTTGCTTTTTCTGGAAAGATCCCCCCCGTTCCGGAAACGCCTCCGGACCGCCATCGCCATCAGCTCCCGCATCCATCTTCTGGGGGTGCTCTCTCTCGAGCACCCCTCCGTAAGTGTGCTGCCCGGGCAGAAAGGGAACTCTGTCCCTTGCCTCCGGAAACCCCCGGCCACCTCCGAGCAATCCCCTTGGGATTGTCCTCGCCGCGATGCGGCTGCGACCCCCTCCACGGAGTCCCATGGGTTCCCATGGGCTGAACTGCCCGATCAACGGGCATTGCTCCGATCTTTCGACGCGGGGCCCATCGGCAAGTGCCCCTGATCCATTCGGGTCGGTCGCTTGGCACTCGCACAGCGTTTCAGCCAGTCGCTGGGCATGCGGGTGGCTGGCGTCGGGTGTAGGCCTCACAGGCCATGGTGCTTCCTGGGTGCTTCCCGCGCAGTGGGTGAATAGCTGGGCGGGTTTATGTGACAGTTGTCCGCCTGTCGGCATACATCCGGGCCCTGACGGCCCCTATGGGTTCCCTGTGGCCTCATGGTAGGCTGCTTGAGGGGTACCCCATCGGTCTGTTTGCGAACTGTCGACCGAGGCCAAACTGGCCTGGAATCTTGAGCCTCATGGGGCACCAGCTTGGTAGTATTCGTATAGTATTTCTTGTGGCATGGCAGCCATCTATTCAAATAGATCGGCTCCATTTATTGGTGCCCCGAACATCGTATAGAAAATTTTGAAGAACCGTACTTACGCAGAATTTTGTCCAAGTACATGAAACATTGACGTCCACATAACAAGCCTGGCCATGAGGCGAGTGTCCCAGAGGCATTGCCCGTTAGTAACGCTGTCGCCACTCTAGCATTCGGGTACTGGCAGAGGAGACCATTTAGTTTGGCCTAGGAATATACACCATAGTATATTCAACCCTTGCGCATATTAACATAGCACTTGGGCCTTTTTCTGTGCAGAAACAACAAAATAAATAACGCTTCTCTAATAAATTTTCTGCAAAGCAACGTGCAAAAGTAAACGACACTTTGAAATGGTATTTAAGATGGGATGTCTACCATTGTCTGTCATATATCTTCCATTTTCACCACTGACTGGATGGTAACGTTGCCAAATCGTTTGAGTTCGACGATTCTTCAAAATGGGATGTGCAAAGCATAACAGTAACATTTTTGAGGCAGAGGAGTTGAATGCACTACAGTACCAGCCCGGGTTGTTCCCAATTCACATTTACAAAGTTATAAATGTGAATTGGAATTGTCATTTAAATGACAGCTATACATTTTCGGGATGCTTCGTCCCAGTTGGGTCGAGCATTGGCCTGCAATGTCCCTGCCCGCTCTGCTGACGATGCCTTTTCAGATTCGTTTCATTCAGCGACGTCAAATTGAACTGGCCAATCGTATCCTTAGTGTATCGTATCCCAACCACCCGAGCCCAGGAATTGCAAGAGAATGGTCTTCAAAAATTCACATCCTGTTTAGTGTAGCTTAGCTCCAGACATGGTTATCATTTGCCAGCCACGTTTGGCATTGCGTTCCTGGCATATAAGCGTTTCGGAAAACCGTTGCGGTTTCTCCGTCCCGTCTCCGTCACGTCTCCGTGCTCGTGCTCTGCATCTGGAACACGCCGTCGCGTCAGGAACGCCCTCCCCAGACGGCCGTCCTCCGTCACCCTCAGGGTCACGCAGCGGTAACGCCTCCCCACCCCCCACCCCCAACCCACTTGGGAGTCACGTGAACCACACCCCGCGACTCACCGAAATGTCACCCTCCCCTCCAGCCCGACTGCGCACGCCACCCAATCAATCAGTGAGCGCATCACAAGTCCGTGCGCCAAATCGGGGCAAAAGTCCACACATCCGCACCCCCCCATTCGCTCCCACGCCGCCCCAGGCCGAGGTTACGTGAGCCTCAACACCCCAGATTACACTGATGATCCGGTTGCGCCCCGCCGACTGGCGCGTTCCCGCCAGAAAGGTCTGACGGCGGCGCCCAGGGGAGCAAGCGGAGGCCGTGGGAGGGGGTGGTGCCCTGGCCAGGTTTTTTTTGGAGGAAGTGTGGCAGGCAGGAGGAGCTGTTTTGGAGGAGGGGAAAGGAGGAGACATGGTGGACAAGCGGAACGGCGCGGTGGGGATGCGGTGGGAGTGGGATGCGGCGTTCGGCGGCGTGTGGCCGGGGGTGAAGCGAAGGAGGGTAGCGGCGCCGAGGCGGATTAGGAGGCTGCACGTCGGCGCGGCGCAGGTGGGTGCGCTGCTGAGACGGGGGAACAATCTGGGTCTGGTGTGTTTGTTTGGAGGGCAATGACAATATGGGGGATGTGTGTTGCCATGTGGGCGTCCGCGCGGGCCTGGGCGTCGCGCCCCGGCCTTGGGAGGGCTCAACGCGGTCTGCACGCGCTTGAAGCGGTGTGTGCTTGGCGTTCTGCGCGAGAGGATGTGTCCATTGTCCGCCCATGTTTCTCACCATTCGACGCTGGATCCCGGAGGTGGACGCGGCCGATGCGGGCGTCGGAATTTGTTTGCGCCCGGGGGCGAAATGCCGTGCGGCCATCATTTTGCACCAGAGGATGTGCCGATTGTTCGCCCACGTTTCTTGGCTATTCGACGTTGAGTCCTGGAGGGGGACGCGTCCGATGCGGGCGCCGTGTTTTGTTCGCGCCCGGGGGCGAAATGTGTGTGTGCGTTGGGTGCACTTTGGGGGACGTTGGCGTCTGAGAGAGTTGTCGGGATCCCACGGCGAGGGACGCAGCAGCCGCGGCGCCTCTTGGCGCCTCCTTTCGCCGCGTGTGACCGGAATGCCTGGTGGGGGCCGCGCGAGAGGTCACAGCCGTGTTGTGTAAGGCCAGGCCGGGTTGGGGACGACGGTCACAGCATGGGGATTTTACTGAAAGGGATCGACGCGGGCGTGGGTGCGGGTGGCGCGGGAGCGCGGCTGGTGCGCTGCGGAGCCGCGGAGCGTTCCGACGGGCCCTCGTTGGCAGCGTTGACCCGTCGGGCGCTGGGCGCCGGGAGTTGATGGCTGCCGCCCACACTGGTTCTGTGGGTTTGACTGCGACGGGCACTCTGAGAGTGGCAGTCGTTTGCGCTGAAACGTCGGCGTCTTAGTACTTGGCGCTCGGGGGCTGGTGCGCTGTAGTTTCGGGTGGTTGGGATCCAATGAGGAGTGTTTCCTAATGGTGCCTTGGAAAAGCTGTCATTGGACTCGGCTGGTTGGTGGCGGGGGGACGGTAGTTCGCTGTAGTTTGTGGTTTGAGTCGACCACGGTCCGCGTGGCGTTTCAGTACTTAACGCTCGTTGGTTGGCGCGCCGTAGTTTGGGTTTGGTGGGGGTGCCTTGGATCCGGTGTGGAGCATTTCCTGTTGCACCCCGGGAATGCTGTCACAGGACTGTGGCAGCGGCTGGCGGAAGAGGGCCCGAGGGCCCGATGCGCTGTGGACCATGGATGTTGTGGGCGTGGATGCCGGGTCAACGCCGGATGGGCGGCTCCGATCGGAGCCATAGTTAAAGTCGTCCTGCCGTGGGTGCCTCCCGATGTGGACAGTTTGTGGGCCTGAGCCGTTCAGGCCAGTTATTCAGGCGTCGGTTGGGCGCTGAAAGCGGTTCTCTTTGGTGGTTGGTGTGCGCCGACCCCTGAACCAAACTAACGGAAAGACGTCGGTTTCAGCAGTGGACCGCAGCGTTGCTGGATAGTCTCGGCGTCCTTGTGTTCTTTCAACAAGGCGTCGCAAACCTCTTGCACCCTTTTCCTATTAGACGCTGTTTCGGATGCAATTGTCGTAGGGAGGAGCCGGGGGGCGCGGGGGGTTGTTGCCAGCTTGTCCTTTGATGGATCGTATTCATGTGGCTATGCAACAGATTCCAAGCCCGGGTCAACTGTCATTGACAGCCTGCACATGCTTGCCCTGGCTGTCCCATCGCGAAGCCCGATTGTATCCATAATATGCACAGTGCATGATCACAGAAACTTCCAGGTCTAAAGACTTGTGAGCGCCGGCGGCATGCGATTCGTTGCCACTTTCGGGACGCACAAAAACCTTTGGAAACCCTTGCGCCAGTTGTGGCATTGTTTCACCACGTTCCCTTCCCTGTGTTTGAGCCTTGTTTTGCAGTGTGTTCATGCGACACTTGCGCACTGTTGTTGACATGTTTATGCAATGCTCAATGTTGCTTGATACACATTACTACACACGTCATGGTTCTGTGTATTGAGTTGCGCACATTGGTATGCCCATTTTTCCATTATGCACATCATTCGCACTGAGCATGCACACATTTGTTAATACATATTAGCATATAATATACATACATTATCATACCCTTTAGAGTTGGACAAACTATTCCACTTGAACTTGAAGCAGCTTTTATTCTGATAGCAAAGAACTACCATTCTTTGTTGCATTCTGTGACAATTTGTGCGTCTGCCTTACAGTGCCGTGGGCGGCGGCCCTATCAGGAGGACAGGGTGGTGGCGCTGCAAGAATACAAACTACCCTGCAGGGAGGACCAGTCACCAGCATCCACCTCTGGATATGAGGCCAGTGGCAATGACACACAACGGTCCTATTTTGGGATATTTGATGGGCATTCAGGAGAGGAGGTGGCAGCCATGGCGGCAGGGCGAATGCACAGCATCCTGGCACACACGCTGGCCTCCAACCCCACGCCAGGTGACTGCATTGAGGTGGCAAATTGTGACAGTACGTCGAGCCAATGCTGTTCAGCCACAGCACCAGTCAGCACGATCCGTGTGCTGCATTGCTGTGAGCAGCTGTGGTCGTTGTCTGGGCCAATGGTTGTACTCAATGACTACGGATAGCAAACTTTGCTAAATTGCTCATTAAGCAGTGATCAACTTAACCAGTTCAAGGAAAACTGACAGTTTAGGATTTTAGGAATTTGGCCAAGGTGCCAAATTTAGTTTGAATGGGCTAACTTGCTGAAGTGCCTGGAATGCCTTGTCTGGCAGTGCACATGTGAATAGTAATAGTTCACACAACTGTGGTGCATGAATGGTTCTCCGCATGGCAAACAATCTTGGAGGTGCACTTCCCATTGTGTGCCTGGCTACCTGCTCACAGTTCCTGTTCAGCATTTTGCCCTCCCAGCCACTCAAACACTGTTTGGCGCAGACCCCACACCAGCTAACTAGTCTGTTCTACACGACCGTCACAGATGCCAAGAAGGGCGATCGAGGTGACAGGGTGAGCAGGGCCCTGCGGCGAAGCTTCTTGAAAATGGACAAGGAGCTGTGGCGCTGGTCGCTGATGAACTGGGACGAGAGGTACCTGGGGGGAAGCTGCGCATGTGTGGCATACAGGGAGGGGGAGGACCTGTACGTTGCAAATGCAGGTGAGGCCAGCTCCAGACGCTGCTTTCCTGTGAGGAATGCCTGTGTAGATTACTTCAAGTTCGCAAGGAGAGATGGCCACTGGCTGCAGAAGTGTGAGGCAATCTTTCGCGCAAAGTGAGGGTCACTGCTTTACATGGTGGTGCCACCTGAAAAGTGGCTGCCAGTATAGGCGACCTGTTGAGTGTCATGGTGCTGCTAGGAGACTATGTGTTTGTTCAACTGAGTGTGGAGTCTTTTCCACACAGGTCAACAGCTGTATGCAAAGCAGTCTCGCAAAAGCTCTCGGGGTAGTTGGGTGGCTGAACTGGGGGATGGGTGGTACTTGTGTGACATGTTTCCTTTTTGTGAGACAGACAACCTTGGCCCTCTGTGAACTCCGCATTGTTGTGCAGTTCTGAACAGCACCCTGTGAGGCTCAAAGGCCAAGGGTCACGTGGCATCGGGGTGTGTCGGTGCCAAGCATTGTGTTATCCTTTGAGACCACCAGGAATGCTGAAGCTATCTGACCACCTGAACACAGTGGAGTCAAATGTCATGATTAGCACGTGTTTGTTCCCACGCTCACTGCAATGGGCACATGCATACATTCTTCGCTGTGTCAGCCGTTGTCCCCTGGAGTAACTCTGCCAGAACCCATCCCTGCCTTGTTCCGCTATTCTTTCTCATCATCATCACCGCAATTTCTTCCCCGTTTTCCAACCCCCATCGGCTGCCTCCCTGCTGCCCTTGCCCCGTCTGACACCCCTTCCGGCCCCCTGATTGCACGTTTTCCTGCTCTATGTGATGCTTGTGTTGTACTGAAAACTCCACACAACCTCCTCGCAGCACTGGAAAGAGCCCCACACACGCTCGTTTAGGAAGGGGTGCCCATTGTACGACCTGTTCTTCTCTTGGAGTGTACAAAACACCAAAACAAGGAAATCTTACCCCTCGTGCCCTCCACTTGGGCGATCGCTGCGAGGTGGTGCGCCACACCCTCTGTTTTCCTGCTCTCCGTGGTGCCTGTCTCGTGTGCTGCCATCATTGCACTGAAGGCCCCACATCATCTTATCACAGCATGCGAAAGAGCACCCCCCACACTCGCTGGGGAAGGGGTGCCCCTTGCGTGACCTGTCCTTCTCTTCGAGTGCACAAACAAGCAAAAGGTTCCATGGTTGTGTTAAAAGTGCTTGGTTCCAGTTTTTTGTTTTTTATTTATGAAAGGGGCTGTTTCGAGTACACAACCAAGCAAAAAGAGATCATCTCACCCCGCTTTGCTCCCCTCAGGCGACTGCCGCGCCGTGATATCTCACAACGGCACCGCCCTCCCGCTCTCCCGCGACCACAAGCCCGATGCGCCCGGTGAGCGCGAGCGCCTGGCAGCCGTGGGCGCCCTCACGGCCCAATCCAAAAACACGACCTACATCGTCTCCCGCGAGTGCGCATCCGGCCTGGCGGTGTCGCGCTGCCTGGGGGACATCCACTTCAAGCAGCTCGGGTACCTGACGGCGGAGCCGGACGTGAGCCGCACGAGGCTGGAGGCGGGCCACGAGTTCCTGGTGATGGCGTGCGACGGCGTGTGGGACGTGATGACCAACCAGGAGGCGGTGAACGTCGTGAGGGAGTTCCTGAGGGTGGGTCGCTTTGGTCAAAAGTAGCTCGTCCGTTCGCGGCATTCCAATTCATTTTCGACTCAGTTTCAGTTCATTTCAGTTTCATTTCCTGACGTTCGTGGTGTTCATTCAAACCAGAATTGTTCTTGCAAGAAGTTCCCCAACGACGACAATCATGCCGTTCATGCGCTTCCTTCCGTTCAGGATGTTTTGATTTGAAAGAATCAGTTCGAAGTGTTACATCCCATTTGGGAAACAAGGTGCAGAATTCCTCTTGGCAGGGAGGTGTGTGCCTTGCACCATCTTGCGTTTCTCATTTTCTTGAACTCCATATGATCAGTGTCTAGACATTGATTAAACGGAATTGAAGAAAACGAAAAAGTGGATGCACGATATCAAAGATGTCCGGTGCCTGGAAGTGGGGGTTGTTCTTTGTCAGAATGCAAATAGGTTCAATGCTGTATAGCGGCGACCCATCCTTGTCCCATGCATGTATATCTTAATGGTTCCACAGCTCGCGATATCAGTCCCTGCATGATGGCGGCAAAAGTCGTTGGAGCTTGTTGATGTTTCAAATGTTGGAAAGTCCAGGTGCCACCCCTTCCCAAGCAGAAGGGATGTGCAGTCTACTCCTGCTTGGCACCTCACTCTGCCCCCACAATGTTAGGTGATGTTGCTAGCCACGCAGCATAAAGTTCCACCACTAGAGATTGCTGTTCCACTTTCATGCCATTATGGCTTCAAATAGGCTCACAACTGCAGTGCTTATACCCTGCACGGGGTCAACATCGTCCTTCTGAGTCCTTCTGGTGGTGCAACGATACCATATGTCCAATCTGGAACACACAACTCTCCCAATCTTAAGCCCAAAGAGTGTTTTCACTTTTTTCCTTAAGGGGAAAGTGTAGCACAAAAAGAAGAAGCACAAGAACACAGCACTCATGAGCCAGATTGTCACCTGTCACACAACCATCAGCTATATGTTGCCAAGCATGTGTAGCTTGGGCCATTCCAGAATGTGGTACATGTTAGCTCATTGCCTACTGAAGTGTCGAAATCCGACAAGGCATTGCACTGGCAGCAACGGCAACAAGTTGCAGCGTTTTGACCAGTGCATTCTGTTTACTTCTGCTGCAACTGCAGGCTTGTGCTTGCAAGGCAGTGTTGGTACTTGTTCAATGTGTAAAGCAAGTTGTCGGTTGGGATGTTGAAACCTGCTGCAGAATGGCTACTGAAAGGGGGAATGTCCTGGGTGTGTTGCAGAACGTGGAGAGGACGGAAGAAGCTGTGGAGGCAGCTACCGCGAAGCTGATAGAGAAGGCGCTCATGAAGGGATCTGGAGACAACCTGTCCGCAGTAGTGGCGCTGATCGAGTGGGACAAATAGCAAGGCCAACCGACTATTCTCGCAGCATTTTTCTTGACACATTCCTGGCTTTTCTTGAGGCCTCTTTTGCTGTTGCGCGGGGAAGAGGTGACTAATGTATGGGCCCCCACGCGGAGAGGGGTGGCCACTTTGCCGGTGGCCAACGAAACACTCAAGATAACCGAACACTATCTCTTATTATTGGACATGAACGGCAGGCATTCAGACAGTATCGTGTATGCGGTATGTGCCAAAGTAGGTAGCCTCGAAGTAGTTCCGAAAGAAACCGTAGGTGGGTAGTTGGGGGCCTTTGAGCGATTCGCAGCCTAATTTCTGTCTAGCGTTGATCATTTGATAGGTCGAATTAACGCGGACGAATTAATTGGACGAGGGGCGCAACAATGGCCCGGCGTGCTTGCACGTCGAATTGGTGGCGCCAATAACAGTGCAGCCCGTGGGCGGCGTGAATGTGCGCCGCTCAATTGTGAGGTGTCGGTGCACTCGTCGACGCCACCCCGGCTGGCAAAGTTCTCTTCATTTGAAATAAGGCTTGGACCCGATTTCCATTCCTGTCAGTCTTCTCCATTTGCTGGGAAAGCGGAGCCGGCCTCACTGGACACACCGCTCCCTGGCGGCAGGACAACTCTGCCGGGTTGCCTCCTGGCTGACATTGTCTGCACATCAGATAGACAATGTTGTGTGAACGTGGAGGACCGCCATGCACCGTGGTCGTGGCAGAATCTCTGCCTCTAAGGACTGGGCGCTATGGCGTAGATGCTGCGCCTGATGGCAGCGGCGCTGGCAGATTGTGCTTTGCAGCAGTGCCGTGGTTGAATCCACCATTCCTACCCCTCGCTGCCTTCCCCATGGCCTGCGGGCGGGTGTGCCGCGCCTGATCGGTCGTAATCGAATCTCCCTTTAGTCTAGGTCAAGATGCAGTTCTCCTATTTGTTAAACGACCTCAACTCAGTAATGTCACCAATAGATCAACATAGTGCTCGGGTCACCAATAATGAGCCCATGATGGCTCAATAATGCGCCAGTCAGTTGCGTCAAGCTGGTGCCCTGTGAGGCCCAGAGTGCACCGACATGGGACTCCCGTATGGGGGAGCCGTGGCCAGGCGGGAAGGAATCGTATGCGCATCCAAGCTACCAGGACAGTGTCGGCAGCCCAGGCTACGGCAACAGGGCCCCGATTCAGCGGCAAGCCGAGCGATACGCTCTCGTAACCTGCACAACTAAGCAACGCAGTCAGGGAAGCACGTCCGAAGCCACATGAGCCGTTGGGGCTCCGCGCCACCCCCATGGACAACGGGTCCCCGCAACCCCACGCAGCACCAGCCCGCCTTCAGGCGACCCACGCAGTTCACTCAGGGACAGACAGGGAAGGGCCCTGCGGTGAGAAATCGGAGCAATGCCCATCGCTGTGTCGGGCGGCCCCGTGGGCATCCATGGGCCGGCGATGGAGGGGTGCAGCCGTGCGGTGGTTGCGCGTCCCCGTAAGGGGATGGCCCCCTTCCGCCGGGGGAAAACCGCCGCCTCCCTGAGGCCTTTCAGTCTGCGCGGAAAGTTTTCAGGGCGGGCGCCTTTCGGTCCAGGGCCCCTAACCCGAATACCCCAGATCCGAGTGGCTGGGACTCGACGGTCTGGGTGGGCGAGGACTGTGCGTAAGGCCGCCTGCGGCAATCTGAGCCGGTGGGATTACGGAGGAGGGGCTTCCCGCCGATCTGACCGGAGGAGGTTTGCGGCAGCGCCCCTGTGTGTGAAACGCGCCGGCCCGGAGACCTGGGCGGAGCAGCGAGGGGTGTTGCGGGGTGGCTGGTTCCGCGGCTCCGCGGGTAAGCCCCGGAGATGACTCAGTGGGGGATGGGCGTGGGCGCGATGTGATGAGGGAATCGCGGATATCGCTGGCAGGATCGGGCCGAATCGGGCGCCATCAATTTGACCTGTATGTTACTTCGTCGTGAGCAGCACGGAAACGGGCTGGCCAGCATGCAAGATTTCCCGGCTGTCATTATAGGGAATGAGTGGTCATTAAAGGGAAGGCAAGATACCAATATATTCCAAATTCAATGAGCAATCGAATGGTGGTTTTTATTGTTAATTTGATGAAGAATTGCGTTTTCTCAGGGGTTTTTTCGATGTACGGAGGAAGGCCACAGGGAACCAGGCTGTTCGGAGGCCTGACAAGTGACTGATTGGACTGATGGTCAGTCAGAGGGCGGTAGGCGGGATGTTGAGGCGAGCGCGCATGGATTCCATGCGGATCTCACGCTGTGCACTCGAGAAGGCCCTCCGTGTCGTCTGTGAGCAGCGCAAGGATGGCCGGTTCTCAGGGCAGCTCCCGCATCGACAAAGTCTTGGAGTGGCGCCATGCCCAGTCTCTCCTGGGGCTAAACGAAGTGCGGGATTTCTGCCATCAACTGGAGCAGTTCCAGGTGGCACGGCTGGCGGCGCCAAGCGGACAGGCGTCTGGTTCCAGTGGAGCGCCGCAAGAAGACAAGAAATGGAGGCGAGCGCGAGACCTGCATGGCGCTCTCATGTCGGTGTGGGAGGAGTCGCTGGCGGACGACCAGAAGATCTTTGATGCCGTCATACATGCCGGGATGGGTTTCCAGACCTCCCTGGATATGCAGCCGCTGGCGCCGGCTGTCAGAACGGAAATTGTAGCGCAGTTTGAGACCATGTGTTACATGGGTCTCAAGCCAGCATGGGATGCGGCTCGGAGGGACAATGAGTTGTCGCAGCTGCGGCTGCTTGACAACAAGCCGGTGGTATGGCGGGCTGCGGAGGCGATTGAGGACGATATTCGTGCGGCCAGGTTGAAGGTCATCGATGACTATTTTCACCAGCGGTTGAAGGTGCAGTCTTTGGAGGAGGCGTTCCTGGAGGACGGACGGGTGAAGGCGCTGGAAGCGGACAGGGAGTTTCTGATGCGGTTGCCACCGGCCCCTCCCAGGAAGGACATGCGCTCACCAGCTCTGCGAAGGGCGATTGGGGAGTGGCATGCGCGTGATATGGAGATCAAGGAGAAGTGGAGGGTTGATGCCGTCCGGGCGGAAGTCCAGGGGTGGCTTCAGGGACACAAGCCCAGGCCTGACTTCGACCATGAGGATACGCCACCGGCAGAGAGACATGGGTGACTGGGGCAGCGCATGGCGCTGGGTGCGGCCGCCGGACAAAACATTTTTTGATGTGACATGTAAGTATCGATTAGACCGTATATGGGATCAAGGGGATAGTCTGAGGCCGCGTGAACGGGAGGCTGTGTGATGGTAATGAGCTGAAGTTGACTTGGTAGGGAAGGATGGGATCAGAGGAGTCTGACGAGATGATCAGCAGGGCGGTGCGTTGGTCGTGTGGTCGAGGGTATCCAGCTGTGTGGTTGTGGGAAGGATCTGGATCCTTAGGTGGACCTTTTTGTGGACCTTTCGTTTTGTCATATGAACCTGACTGCGGTAATGTATAAAGTGGCGGGGGTGCGCATTGTAGCCGCCCCCGGTCTGTAAGAACGTTCTTGCTTACAACCGGAGCACCTGAACGGGCCTCCTCACGAAGTGAGGTTGGGACCTGACGGTCGGGCGGGTGGTTCCCTGCCAAGGGATAAGCCCAGCGTCCAGTGTGTGGCGATTTCGATCGCATTTCGACGCGGTGAATCGATATACGGTGTTTTCCGCATGTCGAATTCTGCTGTGCCAACCCCGAAGGGTCGTGCCATGCCCGGGCACAGATCTTTACAATAGCAGGCCGGTAATTCCCCCAGTGCTCCTTCATCAATCCTGTCAAGGCACATCCTCAAGACAACCACTGCAAAATGGATGACAATAGGAGGGGCATTGGAAAATCACCGCATGGGTACCGTCTGCGTCTGGCGACATTGACATGAGACGGTGGCGGCAGCGAGCCCATTCGCGTTCAAATCTACATGATTGAATGGGGATTCTTGTTAGCAAATGTGCGCCACCGAACGTGCCGCTGCACTTCAGAGGCAATGACGGGCAACGTTGAGCTGACGCCCAGTGACACCCCATGAAGCCGCAGGGGTGGGAGCAGCTAAGGCAGGTGTGGGAGAACAGGCTGGGTATAAACTCTTCGAAGTGCATGTTCCCATGCCTGCAATGAGCGATATCAGCCAGCCATTGGCGCTGGCTGACGCAGTTTGTGTGGGGCGAAGCGTGAGCAATGCACGATCTTTGTCAACTGCGCTGTGGTGCGAACACGGCCTGATTGGACCGCGCGCGCCATTATCCAGACCTGGCTGACCCACTCTGGGGGAGTTAGTGTGTCGATATTGGTCACACCAAATGTTGTTAAGCGTATGCTTAACATCAAATCGGCGCTTGGGTGGTAGTGGTGATGGTGGTGCATGCGGGGGGGGTCTGTGACGCTAAAAGTACACTACTCCATGAGTACTTCATGAGGTACTTGTCAAAGTTCCTGGACCATCCCGGTTCGAGATCCTGCTCGTCGCAATCAAATGTGCACAGCGATGGGCCACAACGCAGCACAATTCAGATCTTTTTGGTTCGACCTCTGTGGCAACCTTCGTGCACGCAGTGCTCAAATGTACGTGCCACGCATGGTCAGACAAGCAGCCAAGACTCAACTTGTCTTACAACGAAACCAAGAGAAGCCACGAACAAGTCTCGGGCTCTTTTTTAACACCAGAATGCGCCTCTTTTTTCGCCCGCCACAACTCACACTCAGAATGGCAGACTGAACTCACACTTCACACACGCACAACACGCTACCCCACAGCACCGCCCCCTGGCATCGACTCACGGCACCGACCCACAGCTCTAACCCACAGGGCGAATATTCGATTCGCGCGACAGTGGACTGTTCTTGTTCGCGACAGTGCCAAACTACTCTTTTTTGCGACGGTGGTCGCGGCAAAGTGTGACTAGGCCAGCCTGCGCCAGGAATCAGCCGCCAGCACACCCTGGCCTGACCTTTGGGCTGCGCAACCCGTCTGCCGTACGGGGACACCTTTCCCACGTCAAGACAGTTCTTCCATGGGCTGCTGTTCGTGGGCCACGTCCGCGGCAGCCCCGGGCACGTTTAGGTGCTGGCCAGGTGGATGCCAGCCGCTGGTTGGCAACCGACGCATGCGAAGACACGCACGGGTGGCTCAACCGGCCAACCTGCGAGGCCTGGCTCAAAGGTTGGGCGCAAAAGATGCCACAAAACGGCGGGAGTGGGAGGCCGAAAGTTGCCTCCCACTCCTGCGGTAAAGCTCCTCACAGTCACCGATTGGTGCCACCCGCGGGTGCCCGGATCGAGACCTGCGAGTGGCATCAATCGGCCCCCACAGGGGGCGACTGGGTACAACGAACTACGGCCTGTTTTGTGCCCGACGCTTGGGCGCAGAACACACCACAAAACGGCGAAAGTGCGAGGCCGAACGTCCCCTCCCACTCTTGCCATTTTCGCCCCTCACGGCCGCAGACTGGTGCCACCTGCGGGTGCCTAGATTAGCACCCGCGGGTGGCATGATTCGGCGCCCACGAGGGGCGGATACCAACGGGCGACTGCGACCTGCGCTGTGCCCATAGCGTGGGCGCAAAACACGCCACGGGACGGCGAGAGGGGTATGCTGCTCGTCGCCTTCCACTGCCGCAATTCTCTCCCCTCGTGGCCACAGATTCGTGCCAGCGGCGGGTGCCCCGATCGGCACCCGCGAGTGCCACCATTCGGCGCCTGCAAGGAGCCAAAATGGGCACCAGACTTTGCAGATCATAGTCGGAGATCCGCCGCGGATCTCCGGCCTCCCCGAGGAGACCCGCTGCCCCGGCCCTTCAACGGCCGCACTATCCGTCCGTCCGCAAACTACCAGCACCTGAAAGGGACGGACGGAATTCAGCTCCTTGGGGCGATTCGCGGTCCAGCCGTCCGTCCACAAATTGCGGAACCAACTGCCACCCGCCCGGCCGCCCCCCCTCCCCCCCCCTTCGGCCTCTTTGTGGTCGACACCCAATCCCCGCCGGGCGACAAGTCATTCGCCACGGCGTCGGTTTTGACCTCGCTTTTGCGCCGCGCAGGGCGGGCTCGCCTGCCCTACTTCCCGTATTGGCCGCCTGCGGCTCGTGAAGCCTGACGCAGGGCAGGCCCCCGTTCACTCTTCGGCGTGCCGCCCAAGGGGCCGGCGACCTGCAGGTCACACGTTTGTAAGAGCCCCTATCGAAAAAAAAACAAGCGCCCACTGTCGCAAAAACGAAGAGTTCGGGCATTGTCGCAGAAATGAACAACGTTGTGGCAGTAACGAGCGACACTGTCGCCAAAAAGAATGTGTTGCAAAAAGGAACAATTTCACTGTCGCAAAAAGAAAAATAGTTACCAATCCATAGTACCAACTCACGATCACCACAATTAGTAAGATTGAAGCTGATTGTTGGCCAGCCGTCCTCCCACCATCTCAATCAGGTCAATGTGTGCACCAGTCAGCCAGCGCATGACCAGGTGCTTGCACAACATGGCAGCTGCGGCTGTCTTGGTGTGTCAGACTTTCATGTCTTCAAGCTGGCTCTTTAATCTGTATTCATTTTTCTCATTGAGCTTCACTGCTCATTAGTGTTTCAGCCACCGACCTCCAGTTCTGAAAACTGGAAAGTTGAATGTGAAACATCGAGAAAAGGTGACAGCCATCCAAGGATATTGTTGATGGCATTCCTCCAAACGGGATTCTCAGATTCCACCAGTCAATCATCGGATTACAAATCAGCAATTGACGGGAGCAGACCAGTCGTCAGTTACTGGTAATTCGAATAATACTTCATAATTGTACAAATTATGAAGCCATTGCCACAAACTCGACGTAAGCCAAGAAGTGGTTCCAAACCGCCCATCTTTTGCAAAACCTCCCCTGCGTCTGAACCTGGAAGAAGGCCCCACCTCAACTGATAGTGTCTGGTGCTGTCCCCACGCCTATCATCGCTTTAAACATCCAGTTTTCCAACCTCCGTAATTGCTGCGGTGCTGGCGCTTGCCTTCCTTGAAAACTTCCTCATCTTCCTCCCAACATGTCGACACATCCTCTTCTGAGCGAAATTAAGTTCAAAACAATAGTGTTTTGTCGGACCTACAAATGTTGTCGCTGCACTGTACACGTTGCCTACAACGTTGTAAAACGTTAACGTTCCATGCAGTCAATGTGCGTGTGCCGGCTGCAAAGTCGGGTCCATGAAAATGTCGCCCCTCGGCACAGTATTATTGCATCATCAGGTCAAATACACGTCAGCGCCCACCAAGCACACCCCCGCCTTCCTTCCAGGCCAGTGACGGTATTGTCACCTACGTCAAATTCATTCGGCCAAGTGACGCTCCGCCCGAAACATCACACCGGCATCGTAGCCAATAACGGGCTCCCGCCTCCAGCCCGTGGCCACCACAGTTCCTTCAACGGGCGCCCCACTCCCAAAAAGCGGCCACCCTCCCCTGCCAACCTTCGCCTTTGTCAGACCCAGCCAGCCATGGCGGCGAGCGAGCCCCTGGGTGACCACGACGTGCCCGCGCTTAACCTTGCGGGCGATCCCATGACCATCCTTGGCTCAAAGATTGCCGAATTGGCGGGAAAGCTGCGCGGGTCCGTGGTGACGCCCAGGAGTCCCGGCTACGACGACGCCCGGCGAGTCTGGAACGCGATGCTCGACCGGCGCCCGGCGCTGATCGCGCGCTGCACGGGCACGGCTGACGTCATCACTGCGGTCAACTTTGCGCGGGATGAGGGGCTCCTGACCTGCGTGCGGTCGGGGGGCCACAGCCAGAGCGGCAGCTGCATGGTGGACGGCGCCTTTGTGGTAGACCTGAAGGGAATGAGGGCCGTTCGGGTGGATCCCGCAGCTCGAGTGGTGTGGGCACAACCCGGTGCCACGCTGGCGGACATTGATCATGAAACCGATATGTTTGACCTGGCGGTGCCGACTGGGAGGGTGTCGGCTACCGGCATCGGCGGCCTGGCGCTGAACGGCGGCACGGGGTACCTGGGAAGGCCATTCGGCCTGACTGTGGACAACCTGAGATCTGCGGACGTGGTCCTGGCCGACGGGTCGTTCGTGAGGGCCAGCGCCGATTCTAACCCCGACCTGTTTTGGGCGCTGCGCGGCGCCGGGGGAAACTTCGGCATCGTGACGTCCTTCGAGTTCGACGCCCACCCCGTCGGGGAGGTCTTCGGCGGCATGGTGGCATTTCCGCGAGAGGCAGGGAAGGATCTGGCCAAACTGTTTCGGAATACAATGCGCGACGCCCCGGACAACTTGGACTTGTCGTTCGCGCTCATAACCCTGCCGGATGGGACTCCCGCGTCAGCGATCGTTGCCTGTTACTGCGGCCCGCCGGAGGAGGGTGAGGCGCTGCTGCGGCCCGTGCGTGAGTGGCGGACGCCGGTGGCGGACCTCATGGGGCGCATGAGGTTCAGGGGCATCCAGGCGCTGTTCGACGACATGGGGTGGAGCAAGCCTACGTACTGGAAGTCCAGCATGGCGCAGGAGGTCACGGACGGCGCGATCGACGTGCTGGTGGCTCAGGTGGGTGTTTTCCAGTTGTGCATTTGCGATGTTCTCCTCCGTTCATCACTTCACCTGATTGAATTAACTTTCTAGGAAATGAATATTCAGCAATATGTATGGAAGGCTGCGATTTAGTTTTCTGTATTTATTGCTGAGTACGCCAGGTCAGCTTGGCTTTTCTTACGCTTCCAACACCGGCTGGGGATGCAGGCGGAGAAGATGGAGTCGCCCATGTCGATGGTGCTCATAGAATCCAACGGAGGGGCTGTTGCGCGGGTGGGGGAGACCGCCACGTCCTATCCTAACAGAAGCGCACGTTATTCCCTGGCGGCCTGTGCGAGATGGGAGAGGTGGGAGCTCACCTGATGGACACTCCCTTTCGAGTCTAAATACTTCAGTTTGGTCAATCACGGCCCTTTCCAAGATGGGGCAAAATAGCCAAAACCGGGCCCCTATTTGTTCCCTATTTCGCAGCACAACATGCGAGATGCCCTTTGATGTCGATGCATCATGCGATCAGATGTTCATGTTCTTCCTGAACGGCAGATCGATTGGCAGATTGATTCTTGCATTTTGCCATCCATCAGGCCGTCGAATCGTTGTGTCGGTTTCCACATCTATTAGTAGTTTATTTGAATGAATAAATCAATTTGACTGACTGTCTGGCTGACTAATTGGCTGCTTGATGGATGGATGGATTGACTGATTGACCAACTGATTGGTTGACTGACGGACTGGCTGATTGATTGGTTGACCCATTGGTTGATTTGTGGCATGAGAAGGTCTGATCCAGAAGTGAACGCGCGCCATGTGGGGTGGGCCAAGGAGACGCACGAGCTGCTGAGGCCGCATGTTCAGGAAAAGGTGTATCTTGGATTCCTGAGTGACGACGGGGACAGCAGACTGCGCGATGCGTACGGGTGCAATTACGAGCGGCTGGAGGAGATCAAGACGAAGTACGATCCAGCCAACATGTTCCGCCACACCGCCAACATCAAGCCAAAGGCGTAGAGAAATTCCCTACGCGTCCCTATTCCCTTTACGTTCGAATGAGCATTGTTTGCGATGCCTTGAGTTGGCATTGTTTTCTGGAGAGAAACAGTGATCCCAAGCGGGCTCCCTCCTCTGGACATGTAATGTTCTTTCATCGAATCACGTGGGAGCTTGTTCCCGATTGGAGTCTGTTCGATTTACCGCAAAATGACCAGCACTTTGTTGGCCACTTTGTTTCATGGCAATCAAATCGGGGCGCTGGGCGTTTGCCCCAAGGTGGCACGGGACGAGTGTTGGCCCTTGTGATGGATGCCAGTTTTGGTGCATTACTAAGGACGGTGCCCAGGGCCATCACGGCGGTCGCTGGCACCCAGGCGGTTTGATAGAGCGCTGGTTTTGTGCATTACGTAAGGCTGGCATTGGTGCAGGTTTTGATGGGCCAGTAGCATGGAATCGTGGGGGCGAACCGCGGGGTGCAGCTCGATGAAGCGCGAGGCGCAGGGCGATGTGCCGCGTGGTGCGATGCGAAACGACGCGGGGTGAGAAGTGATGGGACAATGGCAGATGGGCATTCTGGTCGAGTGGACGCGTGCTCGCGATGAGAGGCGGGCATGACATGTCGTGCCCGCCAGATACAAATATGGCGGTGTCCACCCCAGTGGGGCAGAGGCCAATGACTGAAGTCCTGGGGGTTATGTAATACGGGTGCCGGCCATTTCGTCTATAGTCAACTCGTCTAACGGACAAGTGGTCTAAGGACATTACGTCTAATAGACAACTCGCCTAAAATTCCGTTGACCCAAGCTGACTTGCTGATATTCGCATAGCACCTGCTATCGGGGGCCCTCAACCGTTCGCCGCATTCCCCTAAACCCAAAACCAACTCATTCATATCCGCGTCCCAACTCAAACCGTGACCCGAGGGACCTCACTCGTTCAGCGCATTCCCCTAAGCCCAAAAAACAACTCACTCATATTTGCATTCCAGCTCAGCCGGTTGCCCAAGGGCCATGTGGAGCTTCAACGCCCTTTGTCTGCGAATCAATTTCCATTGTGGACTGGGGTCACGTTAGCCAGCCTCTCCCATCGATCCGCCTTCTTGCCTCGGAGGATCTGCTTGCTCCCTCGCTGCCAGTCGGCCTGCCATTCGGTTGCCTCTATCATCGCTCCATAGCTGCCAATCGACGCCCCACGCTGCGCCAAGCCGCGCCACATCCGCCAGCCACGTGCCTGGACCGCTGCGCTCACCCTCCTGTGCTGTCCCGCTCACTGTGCGGGCGTCAGGAACGCGCCTAGCAACCAGTTCGGAATGCAGCCGGTCACAAGCGGAATGAAATGTAATTGAAGGTTAAAGACAACCCGTCTAACATAAAGACGGAGTCAATGTTGCGATTGACTTCACCATAGGGCAGCTGACCACACGCAACGGCTTTGAAAATGAGTGTTATTCGTAGCAGAGACGTTTGTGTCATTGGCACACAACCAACCCGTGGCAGCGTTTAGGGAGCATCGCCCGCTAGACAAGTTGCCCTTAGACCACTTGTCCGCTAGACAGGTACTTGTCTATATTAATGCAGCGCCCGCCCGGGCGGGCCGTGACATGGGCCCATGACATGGCCCAAACGGGGGCGCTAATGGGGGGTGGGGCCCTAAAAAATTATCTGCTTAATGTGGTTAATTGTAGTTTCAGTCATAACGTAACACTCTCCATCATGAGAAGACGCAAAATAAACACATTAGCCGTGCTACAGCCTGTTGAGATGCCAAATTGACCCATCACACGCGCTGTACCGTGTGCCATCGCGTCACAGTAGTGGAGCACCGTGTTTGGGCCTTGCATTGATGTTACACGGTGCCTGTCACAGCTCATCACGTGGACGTGCACGGCATTGCCCGCATTATGAATGCGGATTGCGCCCAGCCAGGGATGGCCTCATCATATTGTAGAGAACCGGGGATAATGGTCCCCGCGTTGAGCATTTTTTCAAATATCCGTAACGCGAGGGGCGTTATGGATAGGGTTATCCCACGTTGTCTAGCATTCCCCCTGTGTTAACGCAACAGTTGAGGCGCAGCGGCCACCATCCAAGCAAATTGTGGGCCGCTGCCCATGCACCCACCGTGGGGTGGCGCCGGAAAACTCCACCTTACGCACCTTGCACCACCCACACACGCCGGTTAAGACAATCATGCGCAGTGCCGCAAGTGCCCATTCCATGGTCAACCCCGGTCAACGGCCCAGAACCAGACGTGCCGTCCGCCCGTTTGCGATATGCCAAGCTCTCGGAATAGGTCTGCCGCCACGGCGTCCGTCCACCAGACACCTCTCTTGGGTGTCCAAAATATTAGTTTGAGGTCCCACTGCGCAGCGAAGCTGCATAGAGTACTACAGAAATTGTGACAAGCCAAAAAGTGGGCGCTATTGGGGGTCGCTACATAGCGACCCCTGCTGTATTGCGGAGATCAGAGGCGTGGGTCCCGCCCGGGCCGATGGGCGTGCTTGAGCGGGAGCACGGGGTGGGGTGTATACCCCCACCATCACGACCGCACCATGCAGTGTGTGACAATCACAAGCCGAGATTGTCGGCTATTATCTGGGGTCCGTTCCTCGATTTGCCTATCTGGCCGCAGCGGCGGTTTTTCGACCCAAACGTGCGGGTGGAAACGGGATCCACGGAGCAGCTTCCCCCCTGGGCCGCATATGGATGCAAACCCTCGCGGCGATGCTGCGCAGTTGTGGGAGCAGTGATAGTCGTAATGGACACAACAGTCAATGAACAATCGTCGTCGAACGAAGAATATCAAATGTGCAGCGCAGCCACCGAGTGAATGGGCCTTTAATGAATAGGCAGGGACGAGAAAGTGCAGAGCGTCGGGCTGAAGGCCCAACTTCTGGACTGGTACATTCAGTACCCCGGCAATTGCGAATACCCGGGTAATAACGCGGAATTACCCGGGCACGGTCCAGGTATATACCGGGTCCAGAACGACTGCCCCGGCGCCGACTGCGTGATGCTAGCCATCCCCGCATTACTGGGCGGGTTTGGGCCCCGCCTTGCAGAATGCACGGCGCCGACTCTGCGCCTAGCCTGACGTTTTCGACTGCGCGTTTGAGGGGCGCAGGAAATATCCGCCAAAGTCCCAACGCCGTTTCGTCAACGACAGCTTTGACGATCTGGAGTCAAACACACCACAGAATACCGCTAACAATCACGGCAACAGATAACAAGAGCAGCTGCAAAACGGTAAGATCGGCCGCGTCAAGTTTCTACGAGCGCTGCAAGACCCGTCGCCAGCATCCTTGACTCAATTGCTCAACGTCTTGACAAGGACCATGCAACACTACAATCGGAATTCCACCTGGTCGGATTTCCCTATTCCGCCTCTCTGGCTCCTCTGGATGCCCTATAAACGCACTGCCGGTAGCAGAGAGCGTGCGGAGAATAGTCACAGAGTGCGATCGCAGCCGCACCTACTCCTACAGTGGAGGCAATGGTTTTCCATGGAAGTGTACGACACCAAGTCTTTGCACGCTGCCCCGTGCTCAGAGTCCAGCTACTACTCGAGGCCGTACCCGGACCCAGTTACAAGTCAGTACCCGGACAATCTGGGTGTCCACTTGTGCCCGCCTATACCCAGCCCGGGTGCCCGGGTGCCATCCCTAATGCGTAGCAATAACAAGAACGCATCCAGGCTTGGTTTTTACGTTAACGTTTACGTTTACGTTTACGCTTTTACTTTTACGTTTTTACGCGTAAAAACGTAAATTTGCAAAAGAGCCTATTTTACGGCTATTTTTACGTTTTTGCGGCTCCCTGGGACACCCAGGTTACACGAGGAAAGTTGCTTACAACGATCAGTCATTCGCCATCTCCAGCACCCGCAACACAATGTCCAACTTGCCCTTGGCAAGGGCGATGATCATCATGATGGTGTTTAACAAAGACTCGTTTTCTGCCCCTTCCAGGGGGTCTGGCTGCCAGTCTCCGGACTCCGCAAGTCTGCATGTACTGTCCTTATGTACACCGAGTAGTTTTTACGTTGTATTTACATATTTTTACGCATTTTTATGCGTAAAAACGTAAAAACTGTTTTACGCGTAAAAACGCAAACACGATCAGTTTTTACGGCGTAAAAACCAAGCCTGAACGCATCGGTGCCAAGAAAATGCGGAGTAGCCCCAGCCGCAACGCGAGGGTCTCTGAACTCCTCGCGGCATCTAGCGGCCCCCGATACATGAGTCGCTGTTGCAGAAATCGGCTTTTTAAGTCATGCGAGCTCAGCGGAGTCGTCATTCCGGCTGTGGCCATGATGCGGAGCCACCAAAGCAACGCCCTGCCATGAAAATGCGGAGCAAAAGTAGAAGTGCTGAAATTTCAATATGTGGAAGGGCTGAATATGCTACGGTAGTTGGCCTTCAGGCGCCCAGGGCACATCGGTTGCCCCCACCCCTGGCCACAACCAATCAGGCTCTGCCGCGGCTGGGCCAGGACGCGCTAGATACTCCTCATGACTGGGTGGGCTGGTGCGATGGACCTTATAAGGTGGGCATAATTATGCCCACAAGCGACATTTTCTAGTCCTGGTTGTTGTAGCAAAAATGACGAAAACTGCCATAGTCGCAAAAGGGGGACAGTTTATGTCATTGGTACAGAACAGCATGTTTCAATAGGAAAAAAGGACCAAATAACACGTCTTCAAACGTGTACAAGGTTTACGGGTTTGTGTTACTTTTGTGTTCTTAGCACGCAGAACTTTGATGAAATGTGTTTTATGTGTGTTCGCAAAAGTGTTACTTGGCCCTTTTTTTCCTGGTGTTTGTGATGCTGGCCACGATTTCATTTTGACACAAAATGATGCCGTCACAGTGACTGCGATGGCACGAAAGTGGCTGCGATGGCATCAATTTGTGTCAAACGGAATCGCAGTTGGCATCCCCAACGGACCGTTTTCCACTGGCGTGTGCTGCAACAGCTGCGGGGAGGCCGTTCCCAATATGAAGCACGAATAAGTCACGCCCTGGCTTGACCCATCTCCGCCTCTGCCACCGTCTCCATATGCGTGGCCCGTACTCGGACCAGCGTGGTCACGGGAAAAAGAGTGAGGGACCAGTTTTTTGGCACAGCGGCAGCAAAACTAATGGGCCTTGCACTCACACTCGAGCGCGTTCGAGTGTGAGCGCAGGGGTCATTGATTTTCTGCGCACACCTGGTCCCCTCCGAATGAGTGCTGTTGGAGTTGGTCATTATAGCCAAATAAATTGAGCCACCAATGAGGGCCACAACTTCATCAAGAGAGACTACATGAGCAGGGAAGCAGGGCGTAAGGCGTTCAACAGTACATTTGGGGAACTGGCACATGGCTCAGTACGTTGTGGTACACTGCTGGGCCAACATTCTCTTTAAGAGGCTGTTGTCGAAATTCGGGTTTCTTCGATCGCCGTCATTCTGCGGATGATGGGTTGGTTCCGTCAATGCACTGCGAATGGTCGTGCCGTAGTACATAACGTTCTCGCGCGGCTTTGGCGGATCCGGTGGGGGGGCGCGGCTGCCGGGGCGCGGCGCGGCCGGGGTGTCGCGCGAGGCGGCGTCGAGACGCGGAGGGGTGGCGGGTGGCCGACGCGCGCCACAGGAGGCGGACACCGGAAGGCGGCGCGGTCCCCGGGGCCCGGGATCCCCTGCGGGAGCGGGATTTGGAATTGTGACTCTGCGGTGAGCAAGGCCGGGCTCGGGACTCCTGCCCCTGTGGGCGTGCCCTTCCGCGAGCCTGTGGGATGGCATCTTGGGATGTGTTGAGCTGGCTTGGGCGCCGGTGGGAGGGTCGATTGCGTGGGGAGGGGGGGATGATCGGCTCGCCGATGGCGCGGTGATTCGGCGCGGAGCTCTCGTCGGGACTCTGGGCTGTGTGCGGGGCGTGCCACGCCGCGAGCCCTGGGATGCCGTTGGTGGTTTTCCTCGCGCTGCCTTGGGCGTCGATAGGAGGGTCGATGCCGAGTAAACGGAGGGATGATCGACCGGTGGATGGCGTGCTGATCCGGTCAGGGGCTAGCGTGGGGATTCTGGGTAGTGCCGGGGGCGGATCTGGGAGGATGGGGCAGGCGGAGGGCATCGCGATAGTCGGGGCCCACCGGGAGGAGGCGGCGGCGCGCCGTTAAGATGAGGAAGCGGCCAGGGCGGCGATCTGCCGCATCTGGATTGGCGCCGAGTGGCCGTGCGTCGGGGTGCGTTGTGAACCGGCGCTGGGAGGCGACCGCCGCGCGCGGGCGGGGCGACGTGCGGGCCGCAGCGCGCGGGCACCTCCTCGGATGGGGCGCGCCGATCGTTCGGGGGAGGGGCGTGATTATCATCCCTGAGGCGAGTAACTTGGGCGGGGGGAGGGGGGAAGGGGGGCGTGCTGTGCGGTGTGGGTAGAGGCAGGGAGGGAGGGGGTGATCGGCGAAGCTTGCGCTGGGCATTGATTGGCGATCCGATCGGCCGTCAAATCACAGGGGCCGTTGGGGATCCGGCGACGCCGCGAGAATGTCGCGATTCTCATCCCGCCCTTGCGGGGCCCCCCGGGGGGAGGGGGGGGGGGCACAGCCGCCTGCAAGTTTTTGGAGCACCCACTTGGGGCCGTTCCAGGCTGCGCGCGGCGCCGCGGAGACAGAGGTTCGGGTGGTGATTGTTTATTTGCCGCTGCCGTCCGCGGCGCCGGGTCCGGGTGCTCGAGGGGCGTCGCGGCAGCGGCGGGCGGGCGCGGAGCGCATTCCTCGGGGACGGTGCCGCCTCGCCATGGGTTATGGCGCCGATTGGATCGGATGCAAGGCGCCGCGGCTGGGGTCGGGCCTGCACGTGCTCTGGCCGGTTTTCTGCCCCGATTGTGCGGCCCTGATGAGGCGTGCTGGTGACGCCCCAGCCCGCTCAGAGAGGGAGGGGGGTGGGGCGGGTATGATTCTTACGAATAGAGAAAGAAGCAGGGCATATAAAGGGCACCCCCTCCTAAGCAAGTGTTCGCGAGAGTCTTTTCCATGCTGTGAAAAGATGATATAGAGCAGATATAGATGATATATATTGGGGGGGGGGGGGGAGGCAGCGGCGAGGTGACGAGAATCGGCGGTGTTTTCCGCGCACGGTTGCTGACCGCCGGCCGACGCGGTCCGGGCCGCTGGGAATGCGTTTGGCGCGCGAGTCGCAATGTTTCCTGCCCACTCCCCGCTCTCAGGAGGGGAGGAGAATGTCAAAATGAGCTCGGGAGAGTTGGAAAAATGTGAAGGTGCTGTGCCTTGCCGCGTGGCGCCAGCGCTGCCGGGCACGGCCTCCCGCTGGCCCAGTGCTTGCGTTCACACTTCCCCCAAGCACGTCCCAGGCTTGACCCCTCCGATCCGCAAATGTTTTGAGGCGACCTGCACTTTTTTACAGTGGAAAAGCTATGCCTGGCCATCCATTTTCTCTGTCGTTGGCCGGCCCCTGGAAAGTCAGCAGCTGTCAGCTTCGGCCTGGGGACAGGGGGGGGGCAGTTTTGCTGGCACAAGCATTTTTTAGCACAAGCTGCGAGGACAGCCTGTAAGGCAGACCTGCTGCAGGCCCAGTATGTGGCACAGTACCTTAGGGCAAGCACGGATCTTAGTCATTAACAAGTGGGTGTCCCTGTGGGGTGGACTCGCCCTGGCCAATATGTAAAGAGACAGTTGGCATCCTGTTCAGCTGATGATGCCTTTGAGTGATGTGGCTTGTGATCGGTGTTAACCATGTGAGTGGAAAAGAGGATGGGTATCAGGCACTCTTGTGTGCATTGATGGCACGCCATGGCAGAACCAAGTTTGCCAAATTTGTGGGCTGAATTTTAATGAACTCCAGTGGGACAAGGTTTCATGAACAAGAGCGCTGGTTTTGGCTTGGCATGTACAGATGCACTGGTGACAATGGCATTGAAATTGATTCCATGGCATTATCTATTGACAATACTGTTGATTAAGAATTGCTAATCCATTTAAGATCTTGTAAATATATGATGAAATAGGTGTGGATTGTGGGCTGGACACTGCATGGCTTTGTGCTGCCCACTCTACTGGGTGGTACTGCACCCTGAACAAGCCTTGTTTTGTCTGCAAACAAATGCTGTAGTGTCAAGTTAGGCAGTCAGTTTTGTTTGGCCCTCCTAATGCAGCAGTCAAGTTTCAAGGATACAGCCCAGCTGAAGCCACCATAAGCCTCTCTTTAAGTGCTTCTGATGATTTTTTGGATATTCTTCAGTTTTTTGCAGTATGTTGCTGGCATAATTCTTGACATCAGAACATGCCAGCCATCCCCAGCCAGACAACCCTTGCAACAGCACGTTCTTGGGCTTGCATGTGCCGTGCTGTGCTGCACCATACCGTCTATGCTGTACTGCTGCTGATGGCCATTTGTATGTGTATTTACTGTATTTTTGCCAAGTAGCTGGGTAGGTATGCCCATGCTTCTGTTTCTAACCTGTGCACATCAGCGCAGTGCTACATAGCATGTTCTGTTTTGCATATATATGAGACCCTTGCCTGTTGGCACAGTTTGTTTTGAATGGAAGATTGTTGCAAATTTGTTCCGATTGGGAATGACTCAGTTAAGCAGTTTTGGAGCTTGGGCATGACACTGTTCTGTTGCACTGTCACAGAGGTGGTCCCCTTGTGCCACATAAGGCAATTTGATTGCTAACTCAGAGCAAGAAACATGTCTGCCATTATTGCTTCTGATCAAGACATATGTAGAGAGTAACTGCACTTTTTCAAAAGAAGTTGGAAGCACTGTGCAATTATGGTATAAAAGAGCACCAGGTGTCCACAAACTTCGGAATGTGATTTTGATTGCCCTTATCAGTGCTGTGGATTGTGTGCAGGGACATTGCTTGCACAGGAATGGTGGACAGGACCTGTTGAGGTGACACAACAGCAGGACTATTGGAGGAACGAATTGATAGAAGCTTCAATTGGAGTTCATTTTATCTTCGCTGCTGATGAAAAGATGTACACGCCATGAACTTACATCTATAGTTGCCTGATTCGTTTCGGTCTGCAGGTCGCGTTTGTATCAAGTTTTCAAAAAATGCAGTATTTCCATCTTCTCCTATATTTCTGCGGATATTTCCATGTTTCATTCACATCTGCATATGTTAGCTTTGTATCATCACAACAGGCCATTGTTCATGCACCTATGCTGCCATCCAGTCAACTGCTATTTTTGTGGCTTTTGTGCCGCATTGCTTGTCAGCTGCCTTGCGGAATAGTGGACATACAGCAGTGTCAAAATTCATAGTGCATTTGCTTTCTGAGCTGTCTTGTGGCTCTGTTCTGTAGGCCTGTTGTCCACAACCAGCGCCCTGACAAGGCATCCCCCAGCACACACAAGTTGCAACCATGGAGCTGGAAAGCTTGGTTGTGGAGAAGGTGGTGGTGCTCTTGATGATGGAGCTCGTCAAGTCAAGAAAGGAATCTGAGGAGGAATTGACACCATACTGTGTGCTCTACTGGAAGGAGTTTGTTTCATTCTTACAACAGATGTCACCTCTTGTGCAGCAGCTGGTTAATGGGCTGGGCCAGCACAGCAAGGACAGCAGGGAGCTGAGACCCCTCTTTGCCAATTTGAGAACCAGCCTCATGCAGACAAAGAGGTATGCAGTTGACAGTGAAGATGGGTACTTGCTATGGCACCGCAAGTGGAAGCTATCCAGGTTGATGGAAAGGGTGCGGGTGGAGATGGCTGAGCTGGTGGCCGGGGCATGGAAAGTCAGGGGGCCATCGAAGTTGAATGGCAAGATCGGGATTGCAGAGGCTGCCTTGGAAACGATGAGTGATGCAATTCGCATGCAGCAGTCTGACTTGGCGAGCAATGTGGCAAGGCAGGGCAGGGAAGGCGATGAGGGTGATCAAGTGGCTTCTCTCACATCGGGTTTTGTTGTTGGGCAAGATGCAGATGCTTCCAAAGTTACGGAGCTCCTCCTCACACCTGGAGGGGACTATACTAGCGGGGTAGTGAGTATTGTTGGATTTGGAGGTGCAGGGAAATCAACGCTCATAGAAGGTGTGTGCAGGAGCCCAATGGTGCTGGGCTGGTTTGAGGGTATTTCCGTAGTGGTCGTTTGTCAAAACCCTGACATTCTGGCATGTCAGAAGAAAATCTGGCAACATCTGATTGGAGGTGAGTTGCCAGACTTGGCGGCACAGGGAGTTGAAGCCACTGCTATGTTGTTGAGAGGCCTGCTACAAAACAAGAGAGTTTTGCTGTTGTTGGATTATGTATGTCTTGGGGGTGATGTGCAACACTTGAACGTGATTAACTACAGGAATGGGAGCAAGCTAATGCTGACCACAAGGTCGCCCTCTGTTGCCCGGGAGTTGGGTGGAGGTGTTGTGGAGCTTAGCAAGTTGAGCACCGAGGAAGCCACCAAACTGTTTTGCCACCATGCTTTTGTTAGGGCACAGCCTCCAGAGCATGTCATGACAGAAATCAGTGACTTGGTTGCCGAATGCAAGAAGCTGCCTGTGGTGCTGGAGTTGATTGGCAAAGCGATAGCTTCCCCAGCTGCCAATCTCACCGTGGACGAGTGGCGGGTGAGGCTGAGGAAGGGTGCCAGAAAACTGAGGAGTGCAAGGAAAGCAGCAATGACACCAGAAGAGGAGGTCTTCCTCCGCCTGAGGCTCAGCTTTGACAGTCTGTCTGAGCTGGAACAACAGTGTCTGCTGATGTTTGGGTGTTTTCCAAAGCAGCAACGGGTCATGGTGTCAGATGTTGTTGACTTGTGGTCAGCATCAAGGGGCATCAATCGAGATGAAGGGCTGATCGTTTGGTGGCGGCTTGTGGCGGCGTCGCTGGTGAAATGGGACTGGGCCTGCGTGCCTGGATGGAAGTGCAATAACAGCAATGTTGCGATGCACGTTACAGGCTTCCAGGACGTGCTTTCTTCGATGTGCTATGTACATGAGCTTGTCCATGACATGGTGCTTAGAATTGCGGGAGACGGATACATTGTGTCGCGTCCCAGGCTGTTCTTCCCTGGCTGTGACCTTCAGTTTTCCACTGTTGTACGCTCCTTTCCTGCAGAGCCATTGGTAGAGGAGCTCTCCTTTGCTGGAATGGCCATTGATGACTGGAGCTGGAACGGAAGACTGCCAAGGCTGAGGGTTGCCATGCTGAGGGGCACGAGCTTGTTTGCTGTTCCGCCATCTGTGTCATTTGCAAAGCAGCTGAGGGTGCTGGACATGAGCTTCTGCAACGTTGAGTCCTTCCCAGACTGCGTACTGTCCCTGCAGCAGTTGGAGCTGCTTCAATTGGATGCATGTCGGGCCCTGAAAGCTCTGCCTGATGAGATTGGCCGCCTCCCTCAGCTGTCGGTCATGTCTCTGAGATTCTGCTCCAATCTCAGGGCTTTGCCTGAGTCAGTGGGCAGTTTAGGGCAACTGTCGGCCTTGTATGCACCAGGATGCCCCTTCACAGAACTACCCTCATCCTTTGGTTGCCTCAAGATGTTGGAGCGCCTTGACCTGAGCTATTGTGAGAGGATTGCAGAGCTGCCGGCGGGGTTCGGTCATCTGAGCTCATTGAGGGTCTTGAACCTGTCAGGATTGTCGATGCTGAAGGTGCTCCCTGCAGATTTTGGGGGTCTGGCAGCTCTTGAGAAGCTCTTCATTGTGGGCTGCCTGAGGCTAAGACAGCTGCCCAGTAGCTTCTCCTCACTCCTGGAGTTGGAGGAACTTGACATGCAAATTTGCGCCTCCATAGAAGCCCTTCCAGATGATATCGGGGCTTTGGGCAAGTTGAAGACACTGCGCATGAACTGGTGTGAGAAGCTGAGGAAATTCCCTGACTCTATGGAGAGTTTGACGTCCCTGAAGGTGTTGGGCATTGACTCAGAGCCAGTCAAGTTTGACTATTCCACACAGCGGCTGGAGGGCTTCAGGTCGACTTGCTGGCTGGACAGGGGGTACCTTCCCAGTGGGCTTGTGCAGCGAGTTCACTGCGGGGACGTGACTGTTGAGAGACCTTCAAATGAGCAAGCAGCACATGTGCGCAAGAAGGTGAGGAGGTTCCTGGGCATATGCCATAGCTACTGTTGCTTGATGTTTGTGCAATGTATTCATGTTCTTGTTGTATGACAATGAAATCCGAACGTCAGCCAATGGGAGTTTAGACAACAGGCCTCGAGAAAATCAGGAATATTTTAGTGCAATCAGACTCGAAAATGTCGGTGAGCAATTAGAGCTGGGTGCATGTGTATGGTGTTCCTGCCATTGCATTTTATCATTTTCATCCTCAATGTCACACACCATTGTGATTGGCTCAAGGCTGAAGTATATCTACTGAGAATGAGAGGCTGGGCAGAGAAAAATGGCTTTGCATAATGATGCTTTAAATTTTGTGCACACTGTGTGTTGCCTTCAGATTCAAGGTTGGTCTGAGCTCCATGCAGCATTGTTCCAAGGGGAGCAAGTGGTGGCCAAGCTCTTGTTTCCCCTTAAGGGAGTCATTAACGATGGAGATCAGGTGGGTTACAGTCGGTATTTTTTTTGGCAATAATTGCCTGTCACTTGTGCCTCACTGCAAAACCTGCTGCATTTTATGTGCTGGTACTCTTCACCTTTGGATTGCATTCCTCCCCCTACAGCCTCTCTTGCCATCTGCAGTTGGGATATTGAGATTAATGCGGAACAAACAGATGCGTTTGTTTCCTGAAGGACCTTTGTATATCCCAACCTTTGGGTGATGTGGGGCTTTGCTGCTGTGGGGATTATTCCAAGGCTCATCAGTTTCTTACCATACAAGACATGCTTGCAATTTGCTTGACCCATCTGTGTATGCAAATGTGTGTGCTGCAGAACGGGTGGACCCCTCTTCACTGGGCTACACGATATGGCAAAATCGACTCTATTGGGCTTCTCCTCAGTGCTGGTGCATCACCTGAGGCTCAGTGCAAGGTACTTTGCTTGGCATGCGTACTCTTGCAAAACAAGTGGTGTGCAAGTTATTCTCTTGGACAGTCGTGCCATTGAGGATCCTTTTGTCACAAGAGTGTATCATATGTGTACCATCCACAGGGCATGTGCAAACTTCCTTTTGTCTGGCAATTGTTGGTTTCTGATGCATGTTTTGAGTATTTTGTTTGTTGGGCAGAATGGCTGGACAGCACTACACTATGGTGCATACTTTGGGCAGCTCGATTGTGCAGATATCCTGCTCAAGGCAGGAGCGTCCTTGGAGGCTCAGAGCAAGGTAGGGAGTTTCCCGCATTCCTCCCAAGTATGCACATAGAAATGGCATAGACTCCCTGTACCCAACAGCTCTGCCTGCCACAGCAATTCTGTCACTGACTGATTGCTTGCTTGATTGACTACTTGTGTTAAGGATTGGCATATGATAGGCCACACTGCTGTCCATTGCTGTCATTTGCTCTGATGAGGGCAACATGATACTATGGATATGAACAGTTACATCATTCTGTTTTGAGTATGTATTTGCTGTCTGGGAAGTATGTAATGCCAGCACATACTTCCTGCATCCAAGATTAATTGTCGTCTATCTGAATGAGAAGTTTCGTTAAGAAAATAGCATCTGAATCAAAAAAAGGAGGCCAGAATCGGAAAGATTGGGTCTCGAAAACCTCAGGTTCCAATTTTCAAAGAAAAAGTCAACCCTCACCCCTGTGAGCGGCCTCTGAAAATTTCCCTTGGTCAGTCCAAAAAGAGCCCCTTCAGATTCCGTGCTCCCAGAGACCCCTCATTCAAGGCCACTCCCTTGCTTGCAAGTACCAACGACAGTCGTTGCCACTGCCGTGATGAAGGGGGCCACCCAGTACGTGGCGTAGCTCTTGCAAAACCCACTAGACAATGCTTGGAGCCTTCATGAGGGCGGCCATTGCCACAGCAATAAAGATGCTGGAAATCTGCGATGTTCTCGATCTCCGACGCATGGACCTTTACTGAGCGAAAATAGCCAAGGTCCAGGGCCCACTTGATCGAGCTTGAAATTCCAGCCATAAGCCATGGCGAGATTGACGATTAGCGGTTTTGAAATGTGTTTTCTGTCGCCGTATCTCTTTGCACCGTGTTGACCTTCCCTCTGGATGGCGTGGATAGTTTTGCATGTGTGGCTTTATTTCACTGCCACAAAGGTGCGCTCTTCAAAGCAGTGCAAAACGCCCGTTTTTGCCACCATGTCGAGAACCGGCCATTTTCTGGCCAGAGGACCCTTGCTACAAAGTACTACCAATCCTCAGTATTTAATGGATTGATCTGAACTTTTGATGGTATACTCCAAGCTCATAAGCACAAGTTTGGGTGATCTTTCGTTGAGAACGATGTTAATAGGATGAAGAAATACCACCCCAAAGTCATTAACAACAATTAATCTTGGACGGAGGAAGTAAGAAAGCTGCATCATGTGGCTATTTGTGAATTTCTGACTGGCTCGCTTGAATTGTGACATGAGCAGGATGGCTACACTCCACTGTTTGTTGCAGTGCAAACAGGGCGCAGGAACACTGTGAAATGGCTTCTAGAGAAAGGGGCAAATGTTGATTGTCGAGAGAATGTGAGTATCAGATGAGAATTAAAGAGCATTTGTTGACAACTGCAGCTGCATAAAAAGCTGCAGTGAATGCATTTTGTGTATCTTCCCCTTACCAAGGCACTTGTGCTGATTGTCATAATGTTCTGGGCCTTACTTGTAGGGTCAAGGTCGAATGTTGTGGCATTTTAGTTTTAGTGCCACTTGCATAGTGGCATATTCCTTGACATCTTTCATGATGAGTGTCACTTCATTCCACTCAGCAATAGGTCCAGCAGGGCTAAAGACACAGCAGAGCAGGCGGAGTGGCTTTAGAGAGTGGCCAGCCATGAGCACCTTTCTGAACAGCGGCTGCCATTCAGATGCTGTTTGTTGTGCAGAGGAGTGTCACATCCAAAAGGCTGAAGTTGCGTGACTCTCCTTTGCACAATGTGCTGGCTTTTCCATATTAGTTTCCCCAGAATATTAATTCCGAATAGAGCAGATGCCTTTGCAAGAGGCCTCTGCTGTTACAGCAGATGCCTGAGGCAAAAGTTGTACAGTAAAGCTGTTGCATGCTGCAGGTTGACCTGACCTTTGGCATCAAGCACTTAGTGTTGGTGAGCAACCGGCATTCCTGCTGGGGCTGCTTGTGCCATCAGCCTTTTGGGAAGGCATAGCACATCTGCTGGGCAGGTTTTGCCCTTATGGCTGTATGAGCATGGCCTGGATTGATGGCCAGTGTTCTCTAAGTCCATCAGCCAACCTGCAAACTGATAGTCTGCTCATGGCACAGACGTCAGCTTCGAACTGGTAGATGTTGAATGGAGATGAAGCAGAATACATTTCCATGTTCACGTATGGGCCCCAACAATCAGCAAGGAGCTTGGAAGTACGTTCACCAGATGGATGAAGTGAATTTTGCACCTGCAGGTGCAGGCAGTTCTCACCTGCTACTTTGGTGATTTGCGCAATGATAAAATGTGTGGCATTATCCATTATGTTGCAGACAACTATCTGTGCATTTGCTCAATGATGGGCGCTGCCCACCCATCCGACATACCATTCATGCTGTACTGGAGTGAACAAGTGGTGTATCACATCAACGTGTGACCTGGTGCCACCCCTGTGTGGGAGTTGGCCGTAGTCTGTTCAGGGCATGGACTGCAGGCCCTGGAGCAGCGGGTGCACACAATTGGTGTTGCGTGTAAGTGGCAGGGACCAGGCATTGGCAGCACAAAGCCACGGGGGTGGGGACATGATGGCCACCTCTCACTCCTGCTTTATTTACCCATTGTAGCCATTGATTGGGTCCACCCAGGTGCTCAGTCGTTGACACAAGTGTCAAACTTGCTGCCTCCAGCAACAGGAATCGGAGGCCAATAGCTGTCGCCAGCCTACATAGCTTTCAACCCTCTCAGTTGCCAGCTGCAGCCACCCACAGATAGGCTTGTTACATGCGGCAGAAACATTTACCATATTACATTTGTGTTTGTATATGTAAAAATTGTATTAACCTTCCACTCATAAACATGTGTAAAATAATGTATAAGTACAGTCCCTATGTACATAGAGCCAATACATACAGAGTCAGGAAGTCCAGGAAGTGACAGCTATATGCGCTGGAGTGAGCAGAAAACGACCTTCTGTTAGACAACGTGGTTGGTCTTGCTGGAGGCCCTGCAGCTGCTCGAGGGGTTGAAGGGCTCATCATTGTGTGCGACTTCATCATGTAGCCTAATGACCTAAGTGTCCCAATGCACAATAAATTACATAAAAATATCCACAAAAGTAACCGCTTCTATGTGTTTGTATTTCTGTGTGCAAAATCGTACTTCCTCCATCCCATATTAAATGTCCTGTATGACTTTGACACTGGATATGCATGGCGTAGAGTGCATATTTGTAGCCGCTGCTCTGGCTGCGGGTCTGAGACATATCTGTGAAACAGCAGCAAGGGTGCCGTTCTAAGCTCGGTACCACTCGATCGTCGATCGACGCCGTGGTTTTGATGGGCAAACAAAATTCTCATCTGTGGGTTGGAGATACAGAATTCGGACGAGTTTACTGTCACTAACTCCTGAGGATGCAGTGCCGCCATAATTTGGTTGGCTATAGGGCTACAACTACGGTGGCATTTTTCAAAGGAAGTTGTGGTTGCCTCACTGTGCAAGGACCACGACATTGCCAGAAAGGGTTGTTCCATGCATTTCCTCAAATTGCATTTTCACTGCCGTTTCCGCCTCTTAGCAGCAATTCTCATGAGAGATTTCTGATGCCACCCGCATACAATGCAAGTGCCACCGACATAACAGACAGCCAGGGTCGCCAAGTGTATACCCACAACTTCCGTTGTCGCATTCAATGAGATTCATGTCGTTTCAGCTAAGGTATTTAAAACCAAGGAGCCATGAATTGGAGATCCCTAGCGAACAGAGATCTCCAGACAGAAGCAGCTGTTCTCTGCTTTGTCTCGAACACAAGAAACCTCCTGGCGATGGCAGAACCCAAATATGTTAGTACATCCTCTGCAAAGGACGCTGCAGATCCTCAGAATGTGGTGATGGCCGGAACATACCCAACCGCCATTTCTTGCAGCGTCCAGCACTATTGATGCTGATCTCAGCGCTAGAGCACAAGCAGCATCGGCAACATCACCGTTTTGGCACTCTGGAAACCCAGTGAGAGCGCCCCGCTCTTGTGCAGGGCTTAACGGGATCCTGGATGGTACTTTTCGATGTAGCTGTTGAACGGTGATGAGGTTCAAATTGTGGTCCAGAACGGTGAAGTTCCAGGTTAGGCTAAATCTGTTGTACTTCACCGTTCACTGCAAGAATTGAGGACATTCAGTACCCGTCTAGATGTTACTCTAGTTGTATTTAAAAAAATAGCAAGAGCATGATACAAATAGGCTCTCAACAAATCTGGACATTTAATTCCGGATAGAGGAAGTACACTGCCAAATATACATGTGTGTGACTTCACGTATTGCAGACTTACTATATAGTATTCGACCAGATCAATGCAGTTATGAAAATCCACTGGCAGACAGTGTTGTAGCTTCGATAGTGTAACTGCACAGTGAACGTGAAAGAGGTGTTATCCAAATGGTATATATTGTCTTCTTTAATGGTGATGACAGGGGTTTCTCACAAATTTCCCGTTCAAGGTACTGCAAAACGCTCAGTTGGTATTGCTTTGGCCCAAAGGGATTGCAGTTTGAGTGTTTTGAACACTTCTGGAGTTTTGCAATACTTGAGGAAGTCGCTTGCAGCTTCTGCTGCCTCCTGTTTTGCTCATGTGCATTCAAAGTATAAAACAAATGCATATTAGAAAACACCCATTTTGGCTTCATCTCCATTGTTGGTGGGCCTCTATCTGACAGAGGCTTACAGTCAAAATTCCATATGGGTAATTTTCTCGTGGAATCTTTGCTGCTACGTGCAGTTCAATGCACAATGTATGCATGAGACTGCAGCCTGTAAAACAGAATAAATACTACTTCTTTTGTTTGAGACAGTGTAGAAGTGCAGAATATTGCTGCCTAGATGTGATAGGATGCAAGACCGTATCAGGCCATTGTGGATTTATCATTGTTCTTTTATTGTTTCATATTGTTCATGTGAAGATTGTTTCTGATGTCCAATTGGCTGTGCCCTAATACAGAATGGGGCCACGCCAATGTTTGTTGCTGCACAACAAGGGGACCATCTGCTTGTGCAACTGCTTGCCAAGAAGAAGGCAGATGTTGACGCTGCAAAACAGGTGAAGCATGTGTCATATATTTTAGGCATTTTGAAGACGCTAATTTCTGTATGTGAATGCTGTTGACATTGTGGGACTGGCCATCTGAAAGTGAGATTTGGCTGACAAAGGGTTTCTTGAATCTTCATTGCTCCTGTGCAGTAAGGGAAGACACTAAGCGTCAGCTTGACGGTAATCTCGAGCTCTCTCCCCCCCCTCCCAGTGTCAATCCTTATGTCGATGCCTGGATGACTCAGCAACATGACCTAACAGTGGTATACAAGTTCTAGGTGTCTCTGAGGAGAAAAACGGTCAGAGCTCTACTGAACTTAGTGGGCTTGAAAACAGCACTTTTGATGCCATAATAATTGAGACAGGCAGCTTCAATGGCTGTAAATTGATACATTTTAAAGTTTATCTCGAAGATTGAGCACTTGAGGAAGGTTTAGAAACAAGTCATGGGTTGTTAGCTACTGATCAACAGCGGTTTTGGGCATCTTTCCACCTTATGTCGATGTTGTCACAGGTCTGGACTCCCCCGCCACCCCCAGCGTCATTGACGCTAAGCGCACCAAAACCGACATAGTTTCTTCCCTAAGGCAAATACACGCGAGGCATTTCCTTTCACTGTCTTTGCTCAAGTTCGCAGGCAACACCGTCGCTCAGTTTCTTGTGATGTTTCTGTTGCGCAGCATGGGGCTACGCCATTGTTCATGGCAGCACAGTTGGGCCATCTGGAGGCTGTGAAGGCACTTCTACAGATCAATGCCAATGTTGATTCATCCAGGGAGGTATGCTGCATGTTGATGTATGCCAATATCGGTGGTGCGAGTGCAAAATAAAACAAGCTGTAAATGTGGAAATCTTGATGACTGGCACTTCGCTTCTCTGTGACGAGGGAATTTCGACATGTTATCTTTGAGGTTTTTCATTTAGCTCCACCATCATATCCACAGTTGTTCTGTGGCACTGTGTGCTGAAAATGGTTTGAAATTTGTTTATGTTCAGTCTGCTACGGTAGCACAACCGCACGGCACTAGTCAGCTGTCAATTTTTCTTCATTTCAGATCATCTGTCTGTGACGAAGATGATACAACCAAATTCCTGGAATTGCCATCTACAGTGAGGAAATTGCTCTGGACAATTGAAAAGTGATGAAGCACTGCTTTCCACAAAAGTCAGATGCTGAGGGAGCTTGTAGCTGGAAAGTGTGCAACACGAAGACCCTGACTTTGTTTTTGGTGTGGTATTCTGCACAGGATGGTACCACCCCTTTGTTTGTTGCAGCACAAAATGGGCACACAGAAGTGGTGGACCTGCTGTTGAAGAACAAAGCTCACACTGAGAGAATGCGGAAGGTATTGCAAGAGTCTGTGTAGCTCATGCACATTTTCCAAGGTTTGTTGTTTGATAATTGTCAGCAATGCCAATCTTGCAATGCAAAATTTTCCCTGTGAGTCAGGCATTGCTGCTGGAAAGGCATTGATAGGCACTTCTGAAAAAGCACTCTTGTGAGAAAACTACATCTCAATATGACGTAGCATGTATCTGCAGTGATGCGAACACCAACATATATGTATACTTAGTGTTGTGTGAAAACAACTCGAATTTAAACCAGTGGAGATTTAGATGGAAAGACTGCCAAATATATCATTATTGAATGCGACTTTTTGGCCATAGAGAATGTTGACTTTGTGAGTGGTGGATATGCAGGATGGTGCTACTGCACTGTACGTTGCAGCCTACAATGGATTTGCCAGCATCGTCGAGTTGTTGCTCAGGAACGGAGCAAATGTTGACAGTTCAAGTCAGGTATCGCCGGAATGAACGTGGCAATTTGACACAGAATCGTCGTTCAGGGCGCTGAAAGGCGCGTATCAGTGCTGCTGACCCTGTTGAAGCAGCACCGAATTCGGCATTCTCAGCACTGTCTTTGGTGCCATTCTTCATTGGTGTGCATTGCAAGGGTGACACATTTAGGCATTGAGTCGAATTGGCGGCAAGTGTGCCTCTTCACCATGTCAAGACCACTGGGTTGAAGATACTGTGATGGGCGAATTACCAACTAAATGTTGACCAGCAATAGCGACTGGCAGCATGTGTTGCATGTGATGTACCAACTTTGGGAACTGGCTGTGGCTGAGCACTGAACCGTTGCTGTTACTGCATTGTTTAGTCGCTTTACTGTTCAGGGATAGATTCTTGTTTTGAAGGATCTCGGTGCAGCTGGCAGGTCAAATTCATTTTGTCAGTCTTGTTTGGTAATCGCGTACTCGAATTCGAGCTCCTTGCCAATGCCTTGTGCAGGGTGGTGCCACCCCTCTGTTCGCAGCAGCTCAACGTGGGTGGCAGGAGACTGTGGACGCTCTTCTCCGTGGGGGGGCGGCAGTGGACCTCCCATCCCAGGTATTGCACTTGCTGCATGTACTTCAATCGGTAATAAATGTGTGCCTCGATTGCAGTAAGTGAAACATCTCCCCATTAGTGTGGCTTTGTTGCCCGTCACTCTTTGTGTTTACCTGTGTTGTGGTGGTGTATCCGCACAACTTTGCAATGTATGCATGACTTCTAGTGCTTATTTTCATACAAATACTATATGTCACACATTTTAGTTTGACATGGATGTAGCACTGTGTGAACACGTTCCATCACTCACGAGTTTGTGTGCGCAAGAGGTCGACTCAGAAAATTGAAATTCTGCATGCTTTCCATGTACCTATTTACTGCTCGCTGTGAGCGTTCTCACAGAATGCAACATCCTTGTTGACAAACATTGCTTTAGGCTGATGTGTGAACAACACCACTGACAGCGCAATGATGAGCACCGCACACTAAATGTGTTTTGCACCACAATGGTTTCACACATTGTGGCTCACACACGATTGTGCTTCAGGTGCCTGTGGCCTTTTGCTTCACAGTCCATGACGCCATATAAGGCGTGGCTCAACCCTGAGTCTGCGCCTCTAATCTCGTGTTGCATTCCCATAACATCCCACAGCTAAAGGATTCTCACTCTCATAGGGTGGGCCGGGCTGGTGCGAATCAGTACAAGGGGGGTGCCGAGGGGAGCGCCAAGAACACTGTTTTGGGGAAAATGATGTAAGGCTCAGTACTTTACAGTACTTGCTTGAAGCAATTTGTATTCCAAGGGTGTTCAAAACGCTCGCCCAATTCGAAGCCCTGAAATCCCTCCAAACCCAAAATTGGCGCCAAAATCGGTGGCCCACTTTGAACTCCCTGCATTCTACCGACCCAAGGTACAGGGTTGACAGAATGCAGAAACTGGCACGCCCGAACTGGTCGCATGTATGGCCGTGCTGACCCAGGACCTGTCGACATGCGTGAGGTTACCCATCACCGCGCTTGGCAGAAGCCAATAATAGGATAGTCGGTTTGGAATTCTGAGCATAATCTTTTACTGATTTTGATCGATTGAATCGAATCTCTTGTGTTCAGGATGGCGCCACTCCTTTGTTCATAGCTTCACACAGTGGGCACAAGGCAGCAGCGCAGTCTTTGCTGCGATGTGGAGCAGCAGTGGACAGCGCGACTAAGGTGTCGTGTGCTTGACAAGGAACACGAATTGCATGTACACAGGATGTCATAATTTCCGTCTGGTGGCTGTCGATGATAAAAATTGTTGTGTGACAATTGCTCGCCATTAGTCATGTCGCTCAAGGTTCGAAATGTCTTGGAATGTGATCATTGAGTTGTATATGGGCCTTGGCTCAGGATGCTGGATTGTAACTTCAGTACTTCATGACGTGTGCATTGGAGCGCCTCAGATGATTTCTTTTGTGCAATTATTGAGAGCTGCTAAGTTTACGTAATACACCCTCAGCCCATCGCAACATTTTTCCAACAGGCTGGTCTAACGTGCAGTTCAGCAAGCGAGAGCCGCTTGTTGCCAGCCGTGGCAAACATTGTTGTGTTCTTGCGCAGAGCGGGGTCACCCCTTTGATGATTGCAGCACACAAAGGAAGACAGGAGATGGTAGAGTTCCTGGTTCAGACTGGGGCGTCTGTACATTACAGGAACAAGGTACAACACCACTGCAGGGTATTGCAGCGCCATTGCGGCATGTCTGTCATTTAGCAGCACACACAGTGGACCATGTTCTGTGAATTGTTATGTCAGGGGTACGCTCCGCTGCCGCCAACAACGGCGAATTGTTGAGATATCTTTCATATCGATGGGAGTTCAATGGATGCCCACTAGGAAATATATTCTTTTATCATGGCACATTGCAAGGAGGTTTGTTTTCTAGTTCACTGTAGATTTTGAATACAGTTTTCATGTGTGTATTGCACGGCTCTCCCCAGGTTCCCAGGTATTATAATTCCGGAGTGTGGGCTAATGCAGACGCTGGGGTCTCCAGTGCCCTCGAAATAGAGGGTCTTGTACCTGTACTTGCAACGTCCATTGGTGTTTGCGCGTGCCAGCTCGTTTGTTGTTCTATGCAGATTTCCTCAGCATAGGATGATCACAGTGCGTTCTGCGAATTGTTGTGCAACCCATTAACAACAAAGTTTCAGGCGGGGAGAAAGGAACATTGCTTCTTAATACAATCGTTATGGCATCATGTGCCCAATAATGCAAAGGTACGATGGAGGCAATTCTGCGATTTGCATTCACGTGCTCGACATGGTTCGCAGCTGCCTCTGGAATAGCCTTCCGATTTGTTCGCTGCTTCGCAGCTGTCCTGTTGACTGTGGGCTTGTTTTGCAGGCGGGTGCTTCTGCGCTGACGTGTGCTTCAGCGAGAAAGCACACAGCCATCGCTGATTATCTGTCGCAGGCAGGCGCGAGCAGCAAGCGTCCCAGGCTGGCGTGCCAGAAGGGCCAAGCTTGCTGATCTGCAGCCCCGGGCAAGATAGTCTGGCGGGTTGCAGCGTTGTGCGGGTTGGTGATGGCGAGAAGATGCGAAAGTCGAGCCTGGAACCTGCTCCAGTTTGACGAAGCTGCTTCGCTTTTCTTTGTCCGACCGTCACTGTATTCGCTGGCTCATGGAGGTCATTAGCCAAGGCAGTTTGTGGAGGGTGTTCAGTGGTCACGTAGTTCGTGTTGCGCGCCATTCCTAAGTTTGTGGGAATCGCCAATTTTTCCAAGGCAAGGGGCGGGTGGGGGGTGGGGGATTAGAATATGCGACAGGCTGCCACGCATCTTTGGAACGACGATGAATGAACGAGGCTTGTACTGGGGAGGTCGATGCTGTGGTTACTGGCTGACAGCCGTGGCGGAAAGGGGCTGGTGTCATGATTAAGTCATTTGTATACGGTTATATTTGAGTCAAGTTGTGGTGCTCCAGGCGACTGAGCTGGAGAATAGGTCATTTCGTGTCCGCCGTATGGCAACGGTTGGAACGAATGAAGGTGTGGTTGGGGACGTCTCCCGCGGATAGAGGCTGTTGGAGTGAGAGGGCCTCATGCCCCGGGACTGATGGAAAGGCAATCAGAGGTGCTGTGCTCTGAGCGTGTACTGGACTGGTAGCCTGTGTGCTGTTGCGTGCACGTATGCAAGGCCGGTCCAGGCAGGTGGTGCCCGTGTCGGTGGTCTGGTTTTCGGAACCCCTGGGCCCCTAAGTACATTATGGCGAACCGGCGATCACTCCGCAGGGAGAAGATGACGGCTCCAATTCGCACCGATCAAGGTGCAATGAGCACACTGCAACGCCAGCCGCATAGGAATAACGAGCAAACGCTCACCCGACTTGAAATATTCTCCACCAAAGTCCCAACATGAAATGTGGTAGGCTGCCAAAAGGTGGTGCCGCACACGCGCAAACAGTACACTCCGATGTTAATACTTCCGCGTCCAAGACTCCATGCTCGAAGACATTTGTCCCTATTGGCACAAAACCGTCAACCAGAGAAAGCAGCACGTGTACATGGGATATCACTCGCGAACAAGAAAAGCGTACAACTGAATTCAAAAGAGCACATGGAACGCGTGGAATGCAAGAACACCAGCGGCTTTCGTGAATTTGTTAAATTTGCTGTTATTCATTGTGCCATTTCGTACAATGGCTGGCTCATTAAGCACTCAAAAGTATACACAAAGTGTCTAGAAAATACAACAGGACGCTTTCCAGGTGTATGGCCTTATGGTCTGACTCCTACATAGCCAAATTGTACAGCCAAACTGTTGCCGTGCCTGTGGTAAGTGCAATTTAGATGTTAGATCGGTGGTTGGCGTTGCTTTGAAGTGTGTCCTGCACTTCAGCAGCGAAGTCAGGCTGCCCCGAATGGCCCTGAGCTGCTTGATAGGGCGTTGGTATTCTGACTGGCAGGTGAGAAGGAAGATTTAATTTATATTAAAGGTTTACTAATTCATATACTAAATTATATATTAAATTTAATTCATATTAAATGTTTATTATTACTTTGTATTAGGTATTCTGATGAATCGCCTTGATAAAGGATAGGGTTTGGTGTGACGTAGGATAGGGGACCGGTGGCCCTGAGTTGTAGTGAAGGGCGTTGATTTGGCGGGAAGCAAGTGATGCGGAAATGTCGCAGGAATTGTGCCAATGATGGGAATGAATATCCGGCTGCGATGGGGCTGTGAAACGGATGATGTACAGCAGTTAGCACTTGCATAAGTATCTCCTTTGCAGGCGAAAGTCCTTCCCCGTCGAAGGGCCCCCTCTTGGGGACACGGGCTGCTGGCGAAGAGGCTCCGAGGCAAGGCACACCACGGCGCGATCCTGGGCGGAGCCTCGCGAGGGGGGTGACGTGTCGATGGATCCAGGCTGCGATGGATCCGTGTCCGTGAAGAGCCTTAACGGATCCTCGGACGCCTTTTGCACAACGGGCAGCGCTTGAACGGCATCTGCGACTTGTGCGGGTGCCTGGGCGGGTGGAAAGCTGGGAGAGAGATCAAGCATGACTGTGAGCACCGCGCTGGCAAACCTCGGCGACCTAGAGTCTTGAGAGGCCTCGGCGACTCAAGGCGATTGGTGGCGACGCTGCAGCTGCGCCTTGTCGGGGGCTCGTTGGACTTGGATTTGGTGGTGAATTAACGGACCCAGAGACCAAGAGGCGCTCTGCCAGCCCGGTGAACGCGGAGGCCAACGTGGAGGCATTAGGGGGCTGCGGCAGCGAGGTGCCGAAGGGGAGTGGGGCGCCGATTGGAGGCAAGGGGCGCTGCCCCTGTGGCTGCGGGGTTTGCCTGGCATGGCGAGCGATCTTTGACGCGATGGATGGAGGCCAAGCGCAAAAGAACGCCCTGAAAGCTGTCCAAAGAGCAAAGCATGCCACAAGGTTGTCCAATTCTGCCCGTCGTTTTCTGGCACGCTCAAGGTGCGCAAGCAAGCAGGGAGCGGAGCATTGCGCCATTATCGCTTTCCTACTGACGCCCGTTCTGCAAGAGGCGCCATGTCAGGCTATGAGGTGCGCGGTTATCGGCTACTGGGAACCGGGCAGACGCATAATTGCGAAGCTGCAACGTGGATAGGACATTGGAGGGTGTGGTGCACGCGTGAGGGAGGGCCGGTGGATGAGGTGTGTTGCTAAAGCACGATGAATGGGATTACTAAGGGGACAGGAACATTAATGTTTGTGGGTGTGGGTGTGAGCTGGACATTTGTTCGCACTGACTTGGAGCACTAGGAGAACTATTTTGAAGGGGAATAATGTTGGCTCAAAGTTGGGATATGTTAGGGTTGCTACTAGATGACAATATTGGATATGGAAAATTGATTTAAATTTCTTTGAACAATTGATCCAAGGTTTGGATTTGAAGTCTTGTTCCAGATTCATGTTGTGGAGTTGCCTCTGCTCCACATCCGGATATCTGTAGGCGTTGATACAACATTGACAGGCCATTGCATCAATGCCGCTCTACTAGAGTACAGACATGAGCCATGAAGGCTCGCGTTGATCCAAGGACCTATCAATGGTCCGTAAAAGCCTGCCGAGTTTCCGGGCGCATCTCCTGGATGATGAATGGATCATTGATCCAAAATTGCTGGAACACTGCTTATTAGGCATGTTGCATCAAGATGCCTTGTTGGAGGGTTGATAAGCACCGACGTCAAGAGCCATTGCTTCGAGGGCAATTCACCAATTTTGAGGGCCATTGTTTCCATGGGCCCCTTGCATCAACCCTCATCAATATTGCATCAACGCCTGCCGAATTTCCAGATGCATAGGGCCGTGACTCACTAGCTCATGGAGCAACCACAATTTAGGGCCATTTAAGAAATCACATTTGTTCCACCTCAATTTCCCATACCACATCTTTGAAATTGGGCGCTGGGCTCATGCATGACGGCCCCAAACGGCCTTTCATGCAAAATGCCTATAAGGGCAAAAACAGCGCACTGTGCTCAAGCCCACGTTTTGGTTACACATGTGCAAAAACAATTGTACCCGGGAAGGTTGCTCCCGGGCCACAGAAATTGTTGCTAAACATGGTCATGTGTGCGAGGATAAATGTGCACGCAACGCGCGCATTTACTCTTGCTCTCTGCTAGTGAAAACCATTGTCCATCGCCACTGTTCCGCCATGTTTCCACCAAAGAAGACTCATGCGCTGTGGCTGATTTCGCACCAGCCCCTTGTCCAGCGAATGCCCGCCCCGCACGCGCATTTGTCCTCACCATCTCCTAATGAAAACCACTCCCCACTGCCACTGTTCACTAGGAAAAAAGGGCCAAATAACACTTTTGCAAACACACATAAAACACATTTCATCAAAGTTCCGCAAGCTAAGAACACAAAAGTTACCACAAACCCGTAGATTTTGTACACGTTTGAACACGTGTTATTTGGCCATTTTTTCCTCGTGGTTCCGCCACCTCTGAACCAAAGAAAAGCCATATGCGTTGGGTGATTTCCCGCCAGCTCCTCGTCCAGCGAAGGCGCGCATCATGTGCGCATTCATCGGATAATGGGATTCCCTTTGTGCGCAACAACTCGGTTGTGCAATTCCGCCAGACTAACCGAAACGCCCCTTTGCGAGCAAATAGTGCGATGAAATTTTTGCAATTATTTGCAATCCGACATTCATCGGATAAAAGGATTCCCTTTGTGCGCAACAACTCGGTTGTGCAATTCCGCCAGACTAACCGAAACGCCCCTTTGCGAGCAAATAGTGCGGAATCATTCAAGTCGGAAGTTTTTCTTGTGCGCAAAGTCACAATTCCGTTACCTTCCGCGACCGCCTTATGGGCATTTTGCATGAAAGGGTTTCCCCCCTTTGAATGCCTTCACATTGATTGCAGTTTGTAGTCCAACTTGGCCATCCGCATCGTCACTTCATGCAGGCTGCAGCGCCTCTGTACCACTGTTGCCCGTCGGCAAACGTCCTCGGCCATCGAGTTCACCAACAAGCCCCCTGGGCTATGATACTTGAGTACGGGCAGTGCCCCACAGCGTGCCATCGCCCAACGACTCCTGCCCCAACAATGCTGCAGCTTGCATGGAGATCTTGGTGCCGCGGGATGCGCCCACGCTATATACGCAACTGACATTTGCGGATGAGAAAGGGCGACCAATTTCATGCGGTCCGCCCCGTGCCGTCTCGCAGCGGTCCGCATTACAGCACGCCAGTACTATGGGCAGCCTACCTGTAGTACAACTGCCTGCAATACTTATCCGCTTTAGTCTGCTGCGCCAGCGGAGACCAAAGTGACAAATTCTCGCGGCGGAGGCCCCCTGGCTGTTCCCCTTCCACAGCCCGTCCACCAGTGCGCGAATCGACACAGCGTGTGTCGCCCTCGTCCCTCGCTTCCACGCCTTGTCGCAGAGCGCCACCCCGCGACCGCCCACGCCCGCAAGGGCGGTCGCGCGGGCCCCGGGTTCCCGGGAACGCACGCCGGCGCTCGCACTGGCCCGTGAATTTCCTCCCCCT